CTCGGTGCCGCTGATGGCGAAGGGCTCGACATGGACATCGACGTCCTCTGTCTGGTGGGCATCTCCCTTTGCGTGGGTCTCTTTGGTGGTGAAGTTGGTCGCGTTCATGAAGGAGCCAATGGTACCAAAGGTGTTGCCCAGGAAGTCTCCGGTGCGCTTCCTCTCGCCCTCGAAGCGCTCGACTCGCTTGAGGATGACTGGCAGGGCCGTGAGGTTACGGATGGTGAGGTTCGTCATGGCGGCGGCGGTCTCGAGCAAGGGGGAGGAGGGGGAGGGGAGGAGAAGTGAGAAGCAGTTACCCATCGTGGAGGAGGATTTTCACGGGGGTTTAGAGCCCCTCGGCGGGCTTCATGTACGCGTGTTCCGGGGTACAGAGCCGTCTTGGAAGGCTTGGGAGGGCCTTTACTTGCATGTAAAATGGGGCTCTTTGGAGCTGGGCTGACCTACGGCCAAGGAAGGGGGGTTGTAACGGTTGGCTGGGTGGGATTGTACGTCTCGTCGGGATGCATGCCGGTTCGCTACGAACAAGGTACCGTAGGTACGTTCAGCTCAGCTCAGCTTGACCGGGCCTCCCTCACAGTCACAGCAATGATTCAGGTCGGGAATACCGCAATCGAAGGTGTGTGTGTCTTTGGTGCGATTGACGTCGCAATATGGTGCGCCGTAGCGCTGCTGGTTTGGAGTAGAGCTGGTCGTTAGTGTCCTGAAACTGGACGTGATTCGCCAGCAGTGATAGACAGAAGCCGTTCCTGCAATTGGCGCTGCTTATTGGACCGTTGGGGAGCTGCCAGCTGCGCAGGAGAGCTAGACTTGGGGTGTTCCTGGTTGTTCCGCGACCTGTGTCATGGATTAGCTAGAACGTGACAGTTTTGAGACTGACAGCGAAAGTTCGGACCGAAGAGCAGCTGAAATATTGTGTGGGAGGAAAGGGTGGGCAAACCTGGTACATACACGAAGTGATCGGGCGTGGAGTCCGTCTTGTCAGCCAAGGTTGATCAAGATCTGATGCATAGAGTTAGCCGAGTCAAAAAAAAAAACAAAAAAAAAGAAGAGACGATTTGGCCAACGGAACGGGACGGACGGAAAATAATAGCGTTCAGATTCTCGCAGGATGCACGTCCTTCGGCTTACGCCCGGTGGATTACAGCGGGCAGGGCGGCCTATGATGTCTCTGCCCGTATCAATCCCTGAAGTCGAGAATCCTTCCAGTAATGCCATATTTCGTATCCGTACGGTCCGTCAGCAAAGACACTTAGCAACGTCCCTTCTCAGCAACCGTGCCGTTTTTTGTTTTTTTTAACATGGCCCAAACTTATTTGTGCAGCATTGCTCAGCGGCACAGTGGTTGGGATGGGCCATTCGCCCTTCTCAACTCCCTCACTATATACTCCTGTGCTCGGAATACACTCCTTGAACCATCGTGGCGAAAGAAGCTATCAGATCTCAATCCCAAAGTTCCCACAGCTAATCCCAACTTGGGGGCGTCATCCGCCGCGCTCGTGTTCGTGGCATCATGGCCTCGAACTCGGGCGGCAGGCCCTGGTCGAGTTTGAAGGCACCCGCAGCACCACGATGAAATCTGCACTACCCGCACTTCTGCCTATTCTCGCCTACGTCTCGTAGAAGGGCAATGGGCTGAACAGCATGGTTAGGCCCATAAGTCCCGTCTCGAGTTCGACGATATTCGCGTATAAATAGTCGTTTACTTCCTGGTGAGCTTCCAACTAAACGTCCTCTTGCCTCCATCGCGAACATACTCCTTCAACACCTCACCTCCCTCCCATCCACCCTCAAAATGGTCAACTTCCCCCCCATCGCCGCAGGCCTCGCCCTCGCCGCCACGGCAGCCGCCTCCGCAACCGCCCCAACGCTCAACCCCTGGCCTCAGTACAACCACGGCGGCTGGTACAACCAGAGCGACGGCGACGTCACCACCTACGGCGCCCCCGAAATCACCTCTCTCGAAGGCCCGCCCGTCGCTAGGTTCTCTTTCCTCTTCAACGCGGAAGACCCCGTCTACGCCGGCCTCTACGTCCAGTCCTCAACCGAGGACTTCATCACCGACTACAAGGTCGAGGCCTACAGCTGGCGTAGCGACTACGCCGATATCACCGGCAAGGTGTGCGGCGCCAAGGGCAATTTCACCTTTGTACAGCTGTTCGGGCCGGACGGTCTGCCAAATACGTTGCCGACCCTAACCATGTTCATTGAAGTCACCGCTGCCAATAATAATGGTTCGCGGGCCTTCATCAACGAGGTCTGGCCCGTTTGGGTTGGGGATGACATCTTTTACCCGAATAACACCTCTCCTTGCCCGGCTCCTGCCGCGAAGACTAAGGGATGGACTGCTTAGGAGGACTAAGCTGTGGGTTTGAGGAACGTGGGGAAGACACTGGGTCCACGATTGACGAAGAGGCCAAATAATATTGAGAAGACAGGGCAGGCCAGAGATGAGAAGAAGGAAACAAGAGATGAGGACGAAACTAGTCGAAAGACTACACTACTCATTCTCATCAGGCCGTATACGAGAGTAGTAATGAATATCTGATCAGCGCATACTCAGCTTAGAGGCTGCTTCACGTCGTTTTCACCGCGAGACCTAATCTGACTTATAAGAGTGAATATATAGGCGTGTATGCGCTCCGTCTTAAGATGTTCTTACTATTGATATCCCTCGAAGATCAACATATATTTATGATCTTCAAACTTCCCCTATTAACTGAAGTCTGTGAGCACCGGCTTTTTGCTTTAGTACTGGTGTAACCAGCTGTGTTCGGTGTGCGACCTCTGAGAATCTCGGAAGCGGCTAACAAGTAAGTCTGATACCGGCGTGGACTGCCAAAAGAAAGACTAGTGTACATCCCCTCCCGATGGGAGTGTGGGAGGGATGAGTTTGACCTCGGGACCCAGGATTATGAGTCCGAATGACGGGATGAGACTTTCGAGGAGTGCGAGTTTGCAGAAGGTCTTGGGTTGGAGGGTCGAGCAGATGGAAGAGGAAGAGGGACTAAGTGAGGGGATAGGAATAGGGGGGTTGTAAGAAGTGCAACATTGAGAGTGTGATGATTTGAATGGACGTATGATACGATTTAGATGTGAACAGATGTTCTTTGGCTAGCCAATGTGCTTGGCTTCGTACATTGGCCCTTCAGAGGAAACTTCAACCCTCGGGGCTGAACCTCGCGAGACTTCATTTTCCTGACTGATTTGACGTGAAAAGAGGCTTCTGGGATCCGGACTCTTTTGCCAAGTTTTCATGTCTCGCTGCAAAACCCGTTCCAACTTCATTCTTACCTACCCTCAGCCTACTTCATCCAAAGTCAATTGACACTCACCACTTGCTAGCTAGCTTCAATAACAATCACAGGCTTACAGAAACATCGTCATGTTTGGGTACATGTTCACTTGAATTGACTGGATTCACCTTTCCAGAGTGAGATCCACGACAACGTTCAAAGTAAGGAATTACTAGTAAGTAGCAATATGTAGATACAGTCACCGAAGGTTATGCCTCGCAGACTGGAGCGTGGGCTATCGCAAAGTCGAGGCGAATCTCCCCAGGGGCTCAGGCGGATCTGACCACTCGATTCGCAGCGTTTCCTCGGACAATGTGCAGTCTCAAAGAAGACTCAAGCGAGATCCGAGGGTAGACTTTGCGAATTATGTGCGACTAAGCGTTCCAGTAGCCTGTAATTTTGTCTTGTTGAATGGTATTTCAGGGAATCTCAGCCGCAGGACGCCGCCACCTGCACAGTTCAATATCGAGGTCTATTGGGACTAGGAGTTCACGTGGAGTTTTACTTTCTCAGACTTCCCAAACGTCTGGGATAGGAGCAAGTTGTGGAGTGCACCATGGGCATGAGTGATGTTACCAACTTACCATGTCCTGTGAATTGTAGTGGTATCGTATCTCGTCCAGATCCTCGCAGGAATGGCAAGGGACTTTTTCCATTTCCCACGTTGCAACTCCAGCTACTATTTAAGCTTGTTTCCGTGTAACCAAGAATGCGTTTGTACAAACGGCTTGACTGGCGTGCGCTGAGGTGAGTCGTGCTGAGGTGGATCAAGGCGTTTAGATTAGACATTTTCAGTTGGTGCTGTCTTAGTCGGTTATATGCGTGTACATGTTTGGAGTAGGATGTCATCCCTAAAACAGATCACTCGTCGTTGGTATCACGAGGCCTGTCATTTTGCCAGTGAGAAGCGTTCAGACTATAGTTTGAAAGCTGGGAATGTACCCGGCTGCTACAGAAGCGAGTCGGTCTAAGTCCCGAGCAGTCATCAGAGCTGTTCTGTGCTGCGATCCGGGCGACTTCTCATTAATTACTTCTGCCAGTCAAGAAATCTCATCAGCCTCCCGCGCAAGAAACGGCTATGCTTGTGTGGCTAGCTACGCGCGAGGACTCAATGTAATCAGTCTGATCAGCCGCTCGAAGTGGAAATGCTTTCTAGAATGGCAAATTTCCTGCGGAATGGTGAAGCGATTTGCAAAATGAACGCCTTCCAACCTGGCCCCTGTACCTGCTTTGTCTGATGGTCCGTCTTGGGACGCTCAGGTCGTCGAACACTTGATTCTTGCAATGGAAAGACCGCTCGCTTCAATGGTAATCAAGGCTGAAAAATATCTACTGTGTGCAGTCGGAATTTTCGACGGCTGACTTTGATGGAAGAGGAATTCATTGTCTTGACTTCAAGAGACAACTTTTGGCTTGCAAAATGTTCTCTGACATCTAGCTTGTGGCAAGGTTTTGGATTATGTCTCCGTCGAGATCACGCTGAGAAACAGCATCACACTCCTATCAATGATTCTAGTATTTAAAGAAATTCAGACCTACATAGCGAATACATTGCATGTCTTTCTGCCAAGCTGCCCACTACGCTCCTTTACACCTCACAGGGTCTTATTGCTTCATCGTCAGTCTTTTCTGCTACTTCAGTCACTCATTTAGTCTCTTTATACTCAATCAAGCGCCACTATGTTACTCAAAATGCGAGCCGCAATGCTGGTAGCTATAGCTGGCACCGCGAGCGCATATCCAGCTTCCTTTGCACCCGGTAGCAACGCCACCTTTACTAAGACTGTCGTCCCTACCCCTTGCCCGTCTCCCGTGGAACAGGCCAATAGATTCGGGTTTACGGGAGAACAAACAGCGACGTTTGCTCACGATGGGCCTCACGCCACTCTGTCGCCAAACATCCATTGGTCTTGTGACACAAAGCCGGCAGCCAATGTCATACCAGTTCCCCCCAGCAAGGGTTCCGAGATGTACTACGGTGTTGGTGGTATGTAAACTAGACCAGCCTGTTTTCAAGAACACGATGAAATAACGCAGCAGAGCAGATCCGGCCAAAGCAGGAGCCTATGCCTTTGTCACATATCACTTTACTGCCCCATCGGTCAACCTAGACCATTGCGATCATGTAGCAGTCGTCTCATACGACTCGTCAGATCTGATCATCTCGTTCGGCAGCCATGACGGATACCAGAACGCTGTGAATACTTGGAGCACTGATGAAGGCCTGATATTGATCGTCTTCGTCAAAGGATGCGGTGATTACGAGAAAGGCGATCGTTGCTTCTTCCGCGTGTCTTCACTCACGTTTCGCGGTGGAGATTCTGTTATAACGGCCTCCGGAACTCCTAGTCACCCTGACGATATTATCACTTCTGGAGAGACTGAATGGGGCCATTGGACCCCTCGAGGACATCACCCGCAGCCTTCATCAGCCTCTGGATCAACATTCACATGGGGATCCGCACCAGCCGCCACCTCCGGCAACACTGCATCTGGTGCCAGTCCCACCTATTCTGGAGGATTGAGCGCCCCTGGCATAACCGGATCACCTTCATCTGGGCCTGGATCAGCTGGTATGCCCGGAGCTCCTGGCAGTCCAATCTCAAACAGCTCTTCTGCAGTGAATACCACCGACTTACAGGCACCTCGCAGTTGCGAGGCTCCTGCCGACACCAAGTATGGCCTTCCAACGGCCTGTCTTGGCGCCTATTTCGATGAGAATCTCGACGAGGACCTAGGGTACACCCAATTGAGCGCCGAGAGTCTTAAATTCGTTCAAGAAATTGCCCCTCAGTTCAACCAAGAATCTATCCCAGAGGAGTTCAAGTACGACATTGACCCAGAGGACTCCTTTTGGAAACAACGCCGATATCTCCGTAAGCGATGGTTTAGGTCCTTCTTCAACAAAATCGTGCAACCCCTCAAGGCAGTTTACCAAGCCACGCAACAAGCTCTCTCAATCGGAGGTTCCATCAACAAAGAGATCTACTGGCACCTCCCCAACCCCAAGTCCTCTAACCCCGACGACAAAACGCTCAGTGATCCCAAGACTAAGCAGGTCCAGTCTCCGTGGGGCGACTCCATTCTTCTAAAAGCGCTAGGCTCTCAGGAGGATGACCCTGACAAAAAGGTCAACGGATACATGAACATTTTCTGCGTCGGATGCGGTGCGTTTGGCAACGCCAAAATCGCTGGCCGAGCCCGCTGGACTCCTATTGGTGGGTTCCTCGAGGGCGAGGTCGACATCAGAACGGACATCAAGTTCGTTCTGAAGATAGGGATTGACGCCCAGATCACGTACAAGCAGGAGTTTTACAACGACCTGATCAACGTTGCTTTGCCTGGGCTGACTTATGGTGTTGTTAACATTGGCCCACGTATCAGCGTCGGATCTCGAGTTGAAGTCGAAGCAGCGGCCAAGGGAAAGCTATTAGCGGGCGCTGAGATGGGGCTGCAGGACGCTCATGTGCTCATTGACTTCGTTAACTCTGCTAACAGCAAGAAGAGTGGCTGGGAGCCCTACTTCAAGCCCGTCTTCGAAGCGGAGGGTGAGCTGATGCTCTCCACGTCACTTGGTCTGCCTATCGGTATCAAGTGTGGTCTCCAGATCGCATCTTGGGATAAGTCGGTAGGCATCATTGATGAGCCGTCAATCAAGGGTGTTGCTCAAGTTGCAGCTTCGATCGGTCTCTCTGAGACGGGCGGCTTCTCGGCCGGCTTTAAAGATACAAATGGTTGTACCGGTATCAGCACACAAATTAGCTGGCGCAACAGACTCTACATCGACATCTTGGGTTCAAAGCAGATACCTTTGTTGGATACCAACGATCGTCCCCTGGCCCAGGGATGTATCGAGTGAGTTTTCTGCCTTCACTACCTTTGCCGTTTTAACAAGATCCTTGTGGCTAACACGTATAGATTACCCCCCAGACCCCCCGGCGTCACCAAGCGTGATATTGGATATCGACAGACTTCTGAGTCCACTAGCTCGATTGTTGACACCACAGACAGCTACAAGGGAGGCTCCTCCACCATTTCTTATGAGCCCGAGTCCATTCCGAACAGGGCTTACAACGACACCAACGGATATGAGTATTCTCTACTTATTGACCCTACCGGTTCTACCATGATCATTTCTTGCAGCAACGGTAACTTGTACGCAGTGGTCACCGACGGACCAGACAATGACCTCTGCTCGGAGCTGTGGGCTACTCAGGACGACGCCCTCATCTACGACGGAGCCCAACGACTGATGCACTACTACGGCAATACCATGACGAAGCTCGGTGTTTCTAGGTTGCGTGTCGAACCCGAGCTGGAGGGCCCTACTGATAGCGTCGTTGTCGCGTGGGCTCCCTACTATGACGGACCTGGCTCTGAAGAGTACTACTTTGTTGCCATTGACCCTCTTGACGAGATTTTCTATCCTGTGGTTTGCGATTATGTCGAAGGGCAATCGTCAAAGCTTTTCCTGGTTCGTGACCCAGTTGAGGGGATCGAGACCCTCAAGAGTCCTGACCTCATGTATACTGTCACCGGTGGCCGGGTCCGTGACTGCTTTGCCTTGGTGCTGATGCAGGGTATTCGCGATACAGCGAGCTACCTCAGCTTGAGCGATACCCCCGACAGTCAGTAACCATACAATAGCTTACGGGAACGAACTATGGCAATGCAATTGGATCTTGAAACAACCTTCTTTACGTAATGATTCTATCCTGCCGCTTTTCTGATCCCGAATGAGCTCATTAATACAAAGGTTAACAGTTTTTGTCACGTCAGTGTTTGCGGATAGATCTGTTATGATAGTCTTTGTCGTGTTGGAGAACGGAGGGCCATCAACCGCAGATCATTGAGCTATCGTTCGCGGCAAAGACCTCTGAAATCAGCCAACGGCCGTTTGTCAAAATTTCCGTCACAGTACTGTACAACTAAACGGTCAAACTCGGCCAGAATAGGCTCGGGTTGCACCTCTTACCGAGAATACCAAGAGTACAGAGCATGCCAAACACATAAATGAACATGGCTTACGGAGTATTCGTATCAACTCTAAACGCCGTGCCCCCCTCCTCATGCCCTCCCTGCTCCAATTGACATGGGTCAGACCCACATTACCTGAGATGCTCACCTCACCTTACCCATCCCACCAAAGTAAGCTTATTTCAAGGTCGACAACGAACGCATTGTTTTGTTCAGTAAAGTAAGCAACATTAAGATTTACTTTTCAAAATATGGACTAAAGAATTTCCTAACAACAAGATACACCACACCATATCCAAGACTCATTCCTCAATCCAGTTACTACAACACAGCCACGCAGGCATAGGTATTGGCCCACAAACCAGTACACGACGACCCAACAGCCGGGTTCCAGGTCGTAAACTGTGCGACGCTGATACCGTACTGCGAAGCGATAGTTGCGCACGTATTCCCCGAGACCACAAAGTGGAACGTCTTACAGCTCTTCGTCATCCCATCCTGAATCGGCGTCGGTGTCGCCACGCCGTTACCCGGGTTCGTCGGCGTCGGAGTCGTCGGCGTGTGCCCAACAATAGAAATGCACACGTACGCATTCAGCCAGAGCCCGCTGCACGAGCTGCCCACGCTGGGATTCCACTCCACGAACTGCGACAGCGAGATGCCGGACTTGCTCGTGATGGAGGCGCACGTGTCGCCCGAGACAACAAAGTAGAAGCTGTCGCAGTTGCCAACCATGTTGGGCTGCGTGGGCGTGGGCGTGGCGATGCCGTTACCCGTGCTCGTGGTGGTGGTCGGCGGACTCGTGGCCGTGGCCGTGGCGCCGCCGATGATGCCTACGCAGGCGTAGGCATTGGCCCAGAGGCCTGCGCAGGTGCTGCCCGCGGAGGGGTTCCATTCCAGGAACTGGGCTAGGGTGATGCCGTTGGCAGTGGCTACGCTGGAGCACGATTCGCCTGACTGAACATAGTAGAACTTGTTGCAGTTGGTGACGATTTGTGCTTGCGTTGGCAGCGGCGTGGACACGCCGTTGCCGGTGGACGTCGTGGCTGTTGACGTTGTAGTAGACGTCGTTTTGCTGGCGGGCGTCGTGGTCGGCACGGCTGTGCTGCTGACCGGCGGCTCAAAGAAGGCCTCGACGCAGTACGAGTGGCCCGTCTGCAGGACGCAAGTGTCCGTGATGGATGGGTTCTGGGGCGAGAGTTCTGGTAAACAGGAATATCTTTCACGACTGGGGGAGCAACTTGAGTGTATGTCTTACCCATCTTCGGAACGAGACCAAGTCGATGGCGTTCTCGCTCAGCAGGGCGCTGCAGGTCTTGGCCGCGGTCAGGTCAACCCACCAGGTGCAGTACGTGGTGGTGTTGGGATCGTATGTCAACGAAGGGGATGAGCCATCGCGACGATGATGAGCCACACCGGCGAGCGCCACGTCGACGAGGCTGCCGGCGAGTAGGAGTGAGGGCAACAAGGAAGGTAGCATGGTGTTGTATTGCTTGGTTTCTGTATGCTTGATAGCGGTGACACCGATGTTGTTTGTCTTGCGTGTTTGGGATGATGGACTCCTGCTATCGGATCGACAATTTCGTTATCCGCCAGACGATACATCACGATCCAGAGTGCAGGTATATATGTAACCTTTCATGGCATTATCCATTGCCTACCAAAGAGCCGCGACACTCTCCTTCAGGCCGGGGGAGACGAATACGGGGCCAGACGCCGACATAGTTTTAGGCAGACACCATACCTGGTACTGCTAGTCGGTCAGTCTGCTTGATGACCTGAGTTGAGAAACACTAACGCCACGGACTTTTCCAACTTCCTCAATAGGGCACTACGGATAAGGTCCTCGCTTCCGACTCAGTTGCCGGCCTGGTAGTCCCGGAATCTTGCGGTCACTCACATGATTCTAATTTCCATATTCATTCCTTCAGAATCCTTCTGTCTTGGCGATATTGGTGTCGAGCCGTCCATATCCCGAAATCTCAACCACATCGCTTACACTTCGTCTGCAAGACCCGGAATTAACAGTTGCAGAGCGTCAGCTGGTCCAATATTGCTACCAGATGTAGCATCGTCTAAGTGCTTGATTTGTTTTGGCCCCTTGAGAAGCACAGAGGCATAGCAGATGATCCTTCGCCACTGACATTTCCGGAGCGGGCTGACATGGAGGGTGTGATTATGCCAACCATCCAAGCGAGGACCCTTATTATTAACTTTTGGACGATACCAAAGATCCAAAACTTGTTCAAAAGATCCAGATCCGGACCCCAGTGATTTCAAGGCCGAGAATAAGCAGGCTGCAGCACATGGGAAAGCAAAAGTACAGGTACTGCCAAGCAAAAGTGCCATGCGGCCCTGCGGGTGGGGCGTCTTTGGCCAGGCACAAATCGTTCGCCAAGCCGCTAGACCTCGGCGTTTCTACTCTATACGGTGGATAGGATCATAGGACCAACCTAGAAGTAACAGCCGAAAGCAGGATTATGATGATGTACCATGTGAATTTATCCTATGGCTCACTAGCGAGTATAGTGAACCGCGATATGACGGTCTCCGTCTGTTGCGCTGTCGCTTTCATGGTCGATTAAGCCCACTGTGGTCATCGCGGGAATGGAATCACAGTGTAAGCCATGAGTTCAACAATTTACACAGATTACGGTATTTGAGACTAATTATGTGGCCTCTTATGACACTGTTCTCGCTATACGTGTTCTTGTATAGCATACACCTAAGTAATAAGACGTGCCTTTTTCAGCAAAAGCTCTACGCGATTAAAGGGTCCTGATGCAGGGGTGAACTTCAAGAGATGCGTACGAGCTAGCATACACTAAAGGGCAATTCTGTACAGAGATATCCACAAAGGGCGAGCTTTCCCAAGCGCTTGCAGTACCTACAATAATCAAACAACAAACACCTGAGTAATTTCATGTGTTCTGGCTTAATATGTAAGGAGGAAGGATAATAAGCATCTGTCTGATCAAGTCCTTTTCTGACACATGCAAAACCCCAACAAAAACAGATGTAGAAATAAAGAAATAGACACAACACGTAGTGATCTCAACCATATCTAACATTTGAACTGTCCACCTCTCATGCAAAGGCATTAGCAGCCCCGACAATAACACCAGTGCCAGCAAGCATCCACAAATCCGTCTTCTTCGCCAACCCAGCCGTGTTCGTCACGCTGCTCGTCGCCCCGGTGACCCCCGTGCCAGGGGCGGTAGCCGATCCGGACCCCGAAGACGACGAACCGGTGGTGCTGCTGACGGGAGGCAAATCCTTCAGTACGCAGCTGGCGTAGGCGATAGTCTGATTCAACCAGGCGTGGTTGAGCTCGCCAAAGTGGTCCCAGGCCGATGCGCACTCAACCGAAAGCGAGCTCACGCTCTCGCTGTTGCTGCGCCAAAACGAGGCGGCGGCGCTCTCGTACGACGCAAAAGCCGTAATCAGGGCCGGGTTCGCCGTCGCGGACGCGTAGGTGGTGAAGCCGCAGAGCTGTGACGACTCGGTGACGCGGCAGTTGAACAGGTCGGCGCCCGTAGCCGTCTCGAAGCAGGGCTCTACGAGCTCGTCAATGTACCCTTCTATGGCGGCGCTCAGCGTGCCCGAGGGCTTGGGCACGTCAAAGTACTGCGAGAGGTTCTGCGTTGCGCACTGCCACGGGTCGCGGTACGTCGATGTCGGTGTCAATGAGGGCTCCATCGACGTCAAGGGCGGCGAAGACATGGAGGCGGATGAGGGCCCGGTCGTCGCCTGTCGGGCCACGAGGGTGATGGTGGAGTCCGAGGCGACTGCCGCGGAGGCGCCTAGAATCGCGAGCACGGCCGGCTTCATCATTAGGTTTGAGACTGGAGTCTGATTTGGTATGATGAGGTGATTGTTGAAGAAAGCCGGTGGTGGTATGGCCGAGAAATGGAGGAGAAGGATGAAGTTGGTGAAAACGCAGAGCGAAGAGTCAAGACAAGGGCAGAGGAGTCCAACGAAGACGCGAGTGAGGGAGCTGGACGACGTTGAAATGCCGTGCTGACAGCCTCGCGGTCTTTGTCGACCGTAGCCATAGGTATATCCATACAAGTAGGTGGGCCTGTTGGCGATCAGCCTGAGATCAAAGCAAATTAGCCATGTAATAGAACACAAGTCTGTTTGGTTAGTTAGATTTGCCTCCTGCTGTGCCGGCTGGGGGCGAAATTCTGAACCAGTTCGCCAAGGCCGCGAGTACTACCCGACGTTACGCCCCAGGATTCAGGAACAAATTAAGAATGCGACAATAATCATGCATGTAAGACTAATAACCTCAACCTCCCTGGGTCCGTAGTAACCTTTTGGCTTGGCCGTTTATCATTTTCCTGCAGGATCACTCCCCAGTATAACCCTATCAAAGTACTGTGTAAACGGTCAAACTCGGTAACGAATCGGCTCCTTCAAAGCATGCCTACCACGCAAGCGAACACATCTTATTCACATTAACTCTAAGCGCTGTCCCCCTCCTCACCAACTCCCTGTTCCATTGCAGCCTTGACCGCCTTCGTCTCCTCGAGGCACTCCTCCTTGCGATACTGTGGCAAATTAGGCCAGCCGTGACGTCTGAAAACTTCCTGAAGCGCCGGAATAGGATTCCTCGCCATCGTGCTCTCCGAATCCAAAACCTCGTACTCGTTCCACGGCACCCAGCGCAGCAAGCGGTACTCGGCCTTGAGCACCTTGAAGAAGTCGGCGACAGACCAAGCGGCGCCATCGGCACGCCACTCGGCATCGTCTTCGTCGTCGCAGTAGTCATACGGGTCGTCCTCGATGCACCGGGGCCCGTCGCGGAGCCGGCCGGGGCACTCGGGCCAGTAGACTACGCCGAGCTCCGTGTCAATCAAAAAGACATGGTGCTCGCTCATTGTCAGACCAACAACGTGCTCGGGCACGTTGTCCATGATGGCGGGGCCCTCGGTGATGGTGCGAAGCTCGTCAATGTCGCTGCCACCCTCGCGTACCCAGGTTCCGTACGTGCGCCAGTCTATCCAACGGCCCCCAGGAGTGACCTGCGGTATCTCGCTGTCGTCTAGATCATCTTGGCGGATGTACGGGAGGTGCGAAAGCAGGCTCAGCACCTCGTCTGACTTTCCCAGCTCCTGTAGATCAGAGGCCAACGTCGGCCACCCTCCTGACGGCGGGTGAACGACAGCTGACTCGGGAAGGTACATCTTGGTCAGGAAGGCATAGAAGTCGGTCACGGCGGCGACGGTGGCCTCCTCCGAATACTCGACTTGCTCAAGGGTCGGCATCTCGTCTTTTCGTTGTGGTCTAAGATCCTGGCGACGTTGCCCGGAATAGCCTCGGCTTTAGTGGGTTCTGGAGAAGGAGTTGTATGAAGTTGTATTTGCTGACCATGAGTCGAGCGAACTTTGGTTGAAAGAAATGAAAAGTGAGGGCGAAAAGAAGGTAGACAGGCTAGTAGGGGGTAAGGAGCTTTGTGCTGTGCCGCCTGTCTTAGGTAAGCGTTGTTTCTTGATGTGACTTCAACTGTCAGGGGCGATCCTGATGATGATTCGGCCCCCGATCCTCCTTTTTCTTCCCCGGTCCGATCAACCTAATTCCAGCGCTAAGTTCATCTAGACTCCATGAACGTGCCATTGGTGGTCGGCTGACCGGGAAGGGTGCCCGATAGAGCGAAAGCTTCCAAAATCACTCAGTGCTGCAACTCCATCATCAACTCTCATGAGGCGCAGACCTCCACGGAGATGACAAGAAAGATCTGCAAGGGAGGTCATGTCTGGATAGAGATGTGTATCTGTACATGAGGGATATTCCCACCAGGTTTCTTGCCAAGATACAGGCCTGGGAAGGATTCAGCTTGAGTCGAGTGCTGCAAATTCTTAAATTTCGGTCATCAGGCAGCCTTCCCGAAGGCTTGGCAAAAAGGTCGAAGGGATGTGCCGTGTTGTGTGATCTATTCGATAGTTTACTGCAGTCAGCTTGACATTTTTGTGCCGCACAGTTAATTACCTGTGCCTTGGACTGCGAATGAACGACAGACTGAGAATAACGGGGAATGATCGTGATACAGAAGTACAGGTCTGACTCCATGAAGGGGCCAAAATGCAGCGTGTAAAGTGGACTTTCTAGAATGGAGGGTCGATGTAAGATACCCATTTAAGCCTATTACGGCAAATAGCGAGCTACATATGATTGGCGCATGTGGGGTCGCGAGTTAAGCTTAACGTCGACGCACCTTGCCGCTGCAGGTGGTACACGTTTTCTCCAAACACCGTCCTCTTCTACCAAAAACGCCTACTTTATACCTTTATTTCCGAACAGAAAAGGTACCTCTTATAGCACTGAACTAAGTGCTCTGGAAAGGTTCACTCTTTTTCACCGGAACATCAAAACCAAAAGGCGTCGTCTTGGTTGAGACGTTGAAATAGGCCAAGATGTTGTTCGAGAGAAGAGGTAGGCCCAGGCTGATGGATAGGCGGGCGTCTTTACGCGACGTGGCCGGAGCCCGGAGTTTGGCTCTCCAGCCGGGTGCTACCCGACACTACCTACTGTAATAGGCTTAAATGGGGTGCCTTACATCGATCCGCGGTGTGTCGAACAGAGGTCCTTGTCTTCGAAGTAAAGACTCGGTAAGCAGCTAAGGCCAGGCACTCGCTCGAGTCCATGAGCTCCATGGTATCCGTAAATATCTTGGCTTGACGGTAGACTCCGTGGGATCCTCAGCCCTGTAAGTGTGGACACGCCGTACAAGGAAACTTGATAATGATACCTACTTTAGGTACGGAGTAGAGGTGCAGGCAAAGGAGAAGACGGAGCCATGGACGATGGTCCTGAACGAGCTACAAAGCAGTGTGGTGTCGCCGGGTCTCCTTAACATTGCTCAAGGCCATGTCTTCAACCTTCTATCCGCTGTCCTTTCTGGTGACACAGTGACTGCAGTCGGTGCCGCTCATTACATACCCACTCGGTGGCCGACGTAAACAATGAGGAGATACATCACGGCGTCCCTCGTCCTAGGGGCAAGCCTCGTGCAATGTGCTGTCAACCTTGACGGTAACCAGGTCGTCGAACCTGTGGGCGAAGACGACCCCTCTCCCATCGGCGACATCAAGACATACGAGCCGGACCAGCACGACTGCCCACTTCCTTGTGCACACCTTGAAAATGTGCACACTTGGATCACCTACTTCTCAGTCGACCGGCTCCGGCGATGCCAGCAGCCTATGCTGCTGCAGTTCTCGCCCACGCAGCCGCTGGACGATCCGGCCACCACCGTGCTCATCCGTGGCTGCACATTCGGCGGCGCCGACGGCGGGGAGCCCATCACGTCGCCGGGCAACATCAACTCGACTTTTGCAACGACCGAGGCCGCCAAGGTGGCCAACGAGACGGCCGCCAGCATGGGGAACCCGAAGAATTCTGACACCCTGTTCCAGTCTTCTCTGGACCAAGCTCCCGCGTGCATGGTCTCAGGCGAGCAGGTCATCAAGACTCTGCCGGTTGCGAGCACCAGCAGTGCCGACGGCGACGGAGCCAGCAACGTGGGCGATGTGAAGCGTCTACTTGAGGCCATGGGCGCCTACTTCAACGCGACTGATAACTGTGACGAGAAGTTCCTGTTCGGCTACTACAAGCAGACCGTCGCGGGGATTTACATCGGATCCGGCCTGGGCAAGGGCACTGTCGGTCCAGCCATCGATGCTCTGGCCGGACGCTTGCAGGCTGACGGTCGTGTGCCCAACCGCTTGGTCACGCAGCTCTGCGAGAGCGACGAGCCATCAGGCGTGTTTGGTATCGCCGTGGATAACATGGGCAACCTCGCCGCTGTCCAACAGACGGCTGCAGACTGGCACGCTGGAAAGTGCGCCGCCGGTGCCAACCTTGTGCCGTCGGGTGAGCTCAAGGGGGTGGCCGTCTTGGACATTATAAGTGCGACCGGGCTCAACGATACTCTGAGCAACAATGGAACATTATTCGGCAACGCCACACTGGCCACGCGGCGCAGGAGAAGCACGACGGCGCAGCTGCCTCACAAGAAGCTACACTCGCGTGCCTTTTGCTCCTACATCCAGGTGCAGTCCGGCGACACATGCACAACGCTCGCGTCTAGATGCGGCATCAGGGGCTCCCATTTCACGACGTACAACCCAAAGATAGACTGCGCAAACCCAAACGCCCTACAGCCAAACCAGTATGTCTGCTGCTCGGCCGGCGACTCAGGGGGGTGGAAACCCGTTCCGGGCGATGACGGGACGTGTGCCACACATCTCATCGCGTCTGGCGATACGTGCCAATCCCTGGCCCTTCAGTACGGCCTGACAGTGGACGAGATCGAAGGCTTCAACAAGGGCAAGACGTGGGCGTGGACCGAGTGCAAGGACATGCTGATAAGCTACAACATGTGTCTGAGCTCCGGCAACGCGCCTTTGCCGCCGCCGCAGGAGGGAGCGGCGTGCGGGCCGCTGGTGCCGGGGACCCTACAGCTGACCGACGGCACGTCTATAGCGGACCTGAACCCGTGTCCCCTCAAGGCTTGCTGTAGTAACTGGGGCTTCTGCGGACCGTTCCCGGAGCACTGCGACATACACGCGCCGGAGGGCGGCGGGCCGGGCACCAAGCTGCCCGGCTTCCAGAGCACGTGTATCTCCAACTGCGGCAACGAGATCAAGCAGAACTCGGGCCCGCCGGCCAGCTTCTCCCGTGTGGGCTACTATGAGTCGTGGAACATGAACCGTGACTGCCTCTGGCTACGTGCCGAGAAGGCCAACACCGACGGCACTTATACCCACATGCACTGGGGTTTCGCCGAGATCGACCCAAACACGTGGAAGCCTGTCATCACCGATCCGCACGGTCAGTGGGACGCATTCAAGAAGCTGGACCTCAAACGCATTGTGTCGTTCGGTGGCTGGGCCTACTCGACCGAGCCGGCCACGTACAACATCATCCGCCGCGCCATCATCGACAACCGCGAGACTTTTACAACAAATCTTGCCCAATTCGCCAAGGACGAGGGAATCGATGGCATCGATATTGACTGGGAGTACCCGGGCGCTCCCGACATCATGGTCGACGGGCAGCCCATCGGGCAGGCCGGGGACGGTGTGGCGTACCTGCGGTTCCTGACTTCGCTGAAGCAGAAGCTTGGCACCGAAAAGTCGGTTTCCATCGCGGCTCCTGCGTCCTACTGGTATCTCAAAGCCTTTCCCATTGACCGCATCTCGGCCGTCATCGACTATATCGTATACATGACGTACGACCTACACGGCCAGTGGGACTATGGCAACCCCAACGCCTTCGACTCGTGCCCGTCCGGCAAGTGTATCCGTAGCCACGTCAACCTAACCGAGACGCGCAACACGCTGTCCATCATAACCAAGGCAGGCGTCGCGAATAACAAGATCATGGTCGGCGAGGCCAGCTACGGCCGCTCGTTCCGCATGGCTGTGGATGGCTGTTGGGGCCCCCTGTGTGATTTCACAGGGACACGCATAGAGTCAGATGCGAACCCCGGCCGATGTACAGCGACTAAGGGATATATCTCCTTTGCTGAGATCAACGAAATCATCACGCAGGGGTCGTACTCGCAAATGTTCCACGACGGTGACTCCAATACGGACGTCATGCTGTACAAGGGCGACTACGTCAGCTACATGACGCCCGCGACGAAGCTGACGCGGCGCGATGACTGGAAGACGCTGAACTTTGGTGGAAGCATTGACTGGGCCGTCGATCTACAGACGTTCGGTGACGATGACATGAAAGTTCCGCTGGACCGCGGCGGCGACACGGGAGATGAGGGCTGTGTGTCGGGCGAGGACAGGTCTACAAACTCGGGCGACCTGTGTGAGTTTACCTGTTCCCTCGGCTTGTGTCCGGACTCGCTGTGTATTTGCGTCACGAGGGGCGAAATGCTGCCAATTCCAGCGGAGAACCCAGTCCAGGGAGACATAATCGCCTGGGACGACACTGATGTCGACCTGAACCGGCTGTGCCGCTTCGCCTGCTCGCACGGCTACTGCCCGTCCGAGGTGTGCACGACGGCCGTGGTCGACGAGGACGAGGATGGCGGCGTCATCGAGGTCGGCTGGAGCCCCGAGAACCCAAACTACTTCAACTACACTGAAGCGCGGCTCGCCAACGCCAATAGGTGCCTCATCTACCAGAATCCCAAACTGAGAGACGAGGCCCAGTTCCAATGCTACTCTTACTGCAAGTCACAGCTCGACGAGGCCAAGGAGGAGGGTCGAACCTCCAACTACGGTTGCATTGGCTTCTTCGCGACCAAGGACTATCCCAATGGCATTCCCTGGGACAAGTACCCGGGAACGTCGTACTATGTCGCGCCCGGCACCTGCTCTTGCGACAACTACCTGATCAATGAGATCGCGGATACGGTGCTGGAGGCTATGCCCATCATCGCCCAGATTAGCTGCTATATCCTCATGTCGTCACTGAAGCTGGTGCTGGACGTGGGCGCCAGCCTGATTCCGGGCGTGGGCAAGATTCTGGATGCTGGACTCGACATGGCCACCACGGCAGCGCAGATGGCCGCATACCTGTATCCCGAGGAGGAAGACCCCGAGGGTGCCTTCTCCTGGTGGCTCAGCCCGTGCGGCGGGACGGAATTGGTGCCGGACGAGATCAAGGAGATCTTTGGCATCCTCAGCTCCGTCGCAGACGGAGTTTCGAGCTTCAAGAAGCCCAAGACGTCCAAGGGCAGCGGCAAGAAGGGCGACGAGGCAAACCCTACCGACCGGTCCAAGCCCAAGCAAGGCACGGGCAGCGGCGCCAACGGTCTGGGTAAGACGCAGCCTGGCAGCGGTGGCATCCGCAAGAGGTGCAACATCCCCAAGTCGCAGTCGACGCTGCGGCTGGGAGCGGCCAAGAACACCATGCGCCGCCAGTCGTGCGTGGCCAGCAAGACTCAAAAGGAGGAGCTCATCATCACGTCGCTGACCTACGGCGCCCGCGCAACCCAGGTGAAAGCCACCTGCAGCGCCGCCTGGTCGCAAGCCTGCTACCACTACAGCAGCGTCATCCGCAACAACCAGGCCTGGGCCACCCTGACGTGCCCGCAGGCGGCCGCCACCACGGCCCATCGCCAGGACGCCCAGGCCACGGCCACCTGGAGCAGCCAGCACCGCGGCTCCGGCTGGACCTCGAACCGGAACCGCCAGTGGAAGGCCTGCGACCGCGACGAGTATCCACCGGCCTACCTTCTCGACGCCAGCAGCCCCGCCATCATCAACTCGGGCGTCGACCGTACCGGCCAGCTAGTGCGCTACATCCCGGACAAGGACAACCGCAAGGCGGGACAGATGTGGAAGGGCGCCTGCTTCGCCAGCACCCTCAAGGAGCTGTCCGACGCAAACTTTGACTCGGCCATCAGCCGCGCCCCGGCGAGCGCAAAGCACATTAGCCGGCCCAACTCCCAGCTGCTGCGGACGTATGTGGCCGTCGGCGTCAACACCCACCCCGAGTTCACCATCGCGTCGTACGGACACTCTGGCAACCCGCCGGCCAACGACGGCCTCGGCGATAATAAGTGCTGGCCTAGCGGCATCGCCGCCAACGACCCGGGCTTCTCTCTGTTGACGTACGATGCTTACTATGATACGCACCCCATGCCGTACCGGTATGATCAGGCGTACGTGCAGGGCGCTAACGGGTCGTGAGCATGCGACGCTGTCTCTCGTTTGTCTTTTCTTTTGTGTGGAACTATGATCAATGGTATTGGATATAATCTGGAAGCATGGTATTAGCAAGTTCTTTTTTGTATATTTTGAGTATGAAATTGGAAATACTTTTGTACGTTCGGGTTCAGGATTCTTAACGTATTTACTTTTTCTACTGATGGTTGACATTTATTTTTTTGCTCCGCTTTGACACGTATCACCCACCTCATTTGTAGTTGTACCACCCCGTCCGCGGCGGAATATCTCCTAGATGAGGCAATGCGTAAAAGTCGTGTGTAACGATGTAGAAGCAAATGACGGGGAGGAACAAGGGGGAGGCGGCTTGGCTTGCGCTAGGACCTACGTACCAGACAGTCGGAAGAACCATACCCTTATACCGAGCAAACAGGTGGTGTGGATACGGCCGGCATCGAGGAGTAGGGTGAGGAAAGAAGCAGGATGGAAATCGAGCGATTTACACCCCGGACGTTCATCACATGCCGGCTTGCTCAAAAATCGATGCTCGGAACCCAATCTCACAAGGTAGTTCATTAGGAAGTGATATTTATTGTCAGGGTTCGTTATTGACACGGATAGAATATCCATATGCTGAGTGAGAAGATAAAGATTTTCTTGTGATTCATGAACATGAAGTGAATTCAGTATAAACGTTGAATACGGCGAGCTGATCGTTATCGAGCTTTCAGTGTCATCTAGATTGGTCCAGATGGCTCAGTCCAAACCAGCCCACACCTCGGTACTGTTATCTCCACTCAATCCCGATGGTAAGCACTTCCGTAAGTTGTGTAGCTTTGCGCCTCTGTTACACCAACGGCGACGCACAGTGACACTGACAGCTGAGCACCCTCGACGTCCCCCTCCCCCCTGAAAACCAATGGGCTCAGCGTGACGTGGCTCTATGTTCCCTTCATCCTAACTAGAGCTGCAACGCCGAGAGCAATGAAGTATTCCTCGAAAAGAACCAAGAGGCAGACCCGCGAAGGCTCACTCCTCACTTCGGGCACGCTTGTACACTGGATGCTCAGGTGCGTCTAGCTCCGAGGCCGGTCTCCTCCGATTCGGGGATGAAGGGGACGCCGCGGAATCGGTAGACTCTCTCCAGGGTTGTTGGTTGGAGGTCTGCTTTTGTGTATAAGTTCCACGCTGAAGAAACTCTGTGATGACTGCTTCCGTGCCAATGACATTTGACGATCCCCTTACAGTGATACCCGCATCAACTTCCAGCTTCAACGGTCTTGGCCGGCCATTCTCGTCAATCAAGGGACATCCAACTGTCCAATCTCTTTCATAAATGGCATCGACTATCGCTTTGGCAATGGAGTTTGCCTGTGCCGCAGGCGAATAGGGTAGGGCGATGAGGTTGTTATCGCTGGCCACGTCGATTCGTGTTGAGATGCGCAGGGAAATGGGTGATAGGTCTTCCTCTTCCTCCTCCTCGTCGGCATCTAGTAGGATCAAGTCTTGCGGACAATGAGAGGTCCGTTGACTGCATTGGCTGTTGTGAGTACCATCCCGCCTCACGAATTGGGATGCGATGCTTCCAAAGACCGTCGGTTGTGCCTGCGGCGAGTATGCTGGAGGCTGAGGTTGTCTCCAGGGATCATTATCCTTGGGTATTGTCAGAGCGTGAAGGCCTGACAGTACAGTAAGTTGCTGGGCCTGAAGGCTTTCGGTGGCTGAAGCCATCATCGGATATGGCGATGAGTAGAGGAGAGATAGTGATGATGTAGGGTACGCAGCAGTATCGTCAAAGTCCCAGGTCTTGGCAATTTGAAGGAAACGGCTTTGAATCGTTTTATTTCCGTCTTTCCTCTCAGAATGAAGATTTGGAGTGGAATAAGATGCAATGTCCATCAGAAATGAGAGGAAGGAATAGTCGATATATACCTACTTCCTCGAGCATATGACAACACATGCAAGGTAGGACCAGGTTCCTTTAGCGGAGATGTGACAAAAAGACACCAGACATGGGAAGTAACATTGAAACTCAGCTTTCCCTGTTCTGTTGGTAGAACGGAACGTTCATGTGGGCAGTGCCTCCCCATTCTAGTGTGTAGACCGAAAAGAACACCAGGTAAGCACAATGGGCTCTGTTCCATCACTCATTCAAAATCCATCATCTCTCAATTTTTTCTGTCCAGATCCACCTGGGGGAAATTCTTCCACAGACACACGGTGTAAGCGCAGAAAGGCATGTCCAACAACAATTAGCCGTGGTGAGCTTTGAGCTCCCAGAGTAGGTTTAATTGGGCTGGCTTCCCGTAAATCTCCGTTTGACAAGACTTGCTCTTTCTCTGCCTCCTTTTGCTTGGACCACACCTTTCTGGTCCCCGGCAGCGAAAAGAAGACCCAAGCATTCGGCGCAAGAACAAGGATGTGGCGGATCCCGACGATGCTTGTTGCGCCAAAAACACGCCGGTCGAAAGGAACAAATCAACCCAGATATATTCCTCATAAGAATCAACTGCCCACATGGCGAGGGAACATGCCCCCATGCCTGAACAGGGCATGGCGGAAGATGCCCGGCCCTCTCTATAACAATTGTTAATGGGAGCAACCCCCTTGGTCTCCGGCGTATCAAAAAGCCGGACCAACACTGAAGGAAAGTTTGACACTTCATACGGCTGAATGGCGTTATCAGTTTATTGTTCTCCCCGGAAAGCTGCATCGCTGATGGCTTGGAGTAAGGGAGGCGCGGAAGGGGGGTGGAAGAGAGGTAAGGTATGCCGGCGGGGGCCACACGGAGCATAGGACCCACTTTGCCGAACGCCTCTTCCCATTGTGGTGGCACGGTGGGCCCCCCCGATTGACATTGTTCTCGGATGTGTGTGGGGCAACGTTGCTATTGTTCAACGCCTCCGGCCCATCGTTTTGCAACCACACCCGCCGGCCGAGGGATCGCACCGCCCGTCGTACCCCAGCGTCAACCCGTCCCGAAACCAGTTGGATCAAGTCTCGGATATCCCAGCCATGAACCACTCCTTCGGTCCTTCCCACCCCTCCCCCCACCCCTGGTGCATTTTACCCTTCCCGAATTTTCTGAGCAAGATGAAGAGATCCTCTTCACTCAGCCCAGCAAATCACACAGCCTCCCCCTGCCAGGCCACTGGCTTCGGCGCCGGGCCATTGTTGGCGTGGTTGGAACTGGTCTGATCCTGAGCTGTTGGAACGCCTTGTGACTTATTCCGGCGTACATCGATATGTCCAAAAGGCGACGTTGGTTGACTGCGGCTGATATCAGACAAGGCCCTTCCTACTTTTCCCACAATTCCTCTCGGCATGGGCTTCTTCCATGGTGTCAGGCTCATTCGAGGATTGACTTCCTTAAAGTTCATCTTGGCTGACGGGGGGCGTTGACATTGCTAACCACCCTCTACGTTGACGGGTAGGCAGGCAACCCGGCAGAGTTTCCCCCTGTCTCCCGGAACGCTGGCAGCAAGCCCGCGAAGCAATGCCATGGCAGGAACAGTGAAGTTTGCCGAGTCCGGATGCTCTTTCCAGGGCAGTGCGGAATTGGACCGGCCTTCCAGGTCCCCTGTTGTCTTCGTTCGCTCGACTCGATAAGCAGGGTTGGGCGTGGTGGCATATCGTACCCTGAGCTCCCATCCGCTCCAACGCTTCTACACTCGGCCGTCAGGACGAGCAAATCCCTCAGCGGTGTTTGAAAAGAAAAGTTTGCCAAATCGCCAGAGAATGATCTGCGTCATTCCATCACGAACACGCTGGCTTGTGATGACACAACGTAGTATGCCGACTGCATCTGCATGTCATCTGGTAAGGGTATGTGTTTGTTGGCCATCTCGCAAATTAACATGCCATGAACTAGTCTGGCTTAAGCTCATCGGCCATGTTAATTGCATGTTCTAGAATGATTTCAAAGGGCTGACAGATCCAATCATCAACTCACTTGTGCCGGATCATCAGCTTTCCACCACGCAACGGGCTCTTCAGGTAACGTACCACGTTGGTCTCCCCAACTACGATCGCCGATTTGCATTCCATTATTCCACCTTCGCCGACTTCCCGTAGGCTGGTATACGCCTCGTCACTTGGCTCGGTGTGATTAAGCCACCTACACCGGTCTAGCCCCCACGACAATGACCAGCAGATGCCGACCATGAAACGCCAACATACTTGCACGTAACGTGGCGATCATGAACTACTTCCAACTGCACATTCTGCTGCCGCTCGACTTACTCGGCATAGTGCCGATCAACCACCCAAAGGCACGGCAGGTCCCAAACATGATCCGGCGTGGTGGCTTGGCGGAGCTAAGCCAAGACTGTAAGGCGGGCAAGTACACATGTTCATGAGAAGAACATCGGCTTATACTGTTGGTTTTCTTTCTTCCGCCGAATCGCCATCCCCCAAATTACGCAGTTGACACGGCGGTATCCGTAGATTGGTATTAGTGAGCCTTCTGATGTTAATTAGCCCTCACAGCAACAACAACTACAACAACTCCAGGAGCCGGCGCGAGTCCGCTTGCAGCATTCATGATATCCACTATGAAAACCGAAAGTGTATCGAGGTCGCTTTCTACAAACAGGCCACCTTCAAATGCGATCCTGCCGTAGACATGAGTGGCTCAGGCGCATAACGACATACACAAATCATCGTTGAGACGGAGCTGCTTCCCCTCGTCTCTGGTTGGGTACCGTTGGGATGGTTTGACCTAATCTTCCCAGGTCAAGCCCAAAACCTAAGCCCCCCCCCCCACCATCAACCCCTCCCTCACTTCTTTCACTCTTGTCCTTGTGCTTGTTTCCTTTTCATCCAAACCACTCTCATGCCTCCCCGTAGATGAAGATCTCTTCGTATGCACGCACGCTACTACTACGTATCTGGTGTCACAAGCTTCACAGGAGCAGCGTGCCACTCAATCAATTCTAGGAGGAAACGACATGGAGACAAGATCGGGGGTTTTGGGGTTACACACGGGATAACATCGTGCTTCACTTCGGTCGATACGACTACCCTCAACGGGAAGCGTGAAGAGGAAAGTATTCCGCCCAGCCAGGTCGAGTCTGCTTCAGCCTTATTGTCGCGAACTTTTGTGTGACATGTTCGTATGAGGTAACTCCAGGAGTCCAGGTATTTCAATGTCAGCTGAGGTCAGCCGTTACCATTCAGTAGACAGCGAAAAGGGGGGACCGTCCAAGCGGAAAATCAAATCGTTGCTGACATTGATCACTTGACGCATTAGTAACGACTAAATGAAACTCATGAATGAGAAGCCTTCGGAATGGAATGCCAAAGGTCGACTTTGTGCTTTGTGGAGCTAAAAAAAAAAAACCCCCCCCATTCTCTCACCGTACTTGCGCAACGCAAACCACCCCGGAGAATCGTCAACTTCGGGAACAGACACCGGGCCGCAAATCTCGCTACTGAACAATGCCCCCCGAACTTCACGGACCGCCACGGGGCCTTGGAGACGCATTCATCGACGGAAGACTTTCCACATTCCCGTGGTTCCCGTGTTTGCGGCCTGGGTTTTGTGTGACGGTCTCCGGAGGTCGGAGGTCTATGCATGTCTTTATTTGGATACGGATGCTAATGCGATACATTTGTTCGGAAGAAAGGGAAGTGATTGGTATTTGAATAATGATAGTTCCTAGTACGCGTATCAAGATGCTAGAGAAAGTGACACAGGGAGGATGCCATGTCGTTGTACTTGGTCGCAGAATATCAGGAGCGATTTGACGACAAACAACGTCTTAGATAAAATCTTGACTGACATCCAATTGCCTAGATGAATTCATAAGTGCATAAGAAAACAATACCTTCACCCAAGCGTCTCCGTCTAAATCGGGAGTCTGTGGCTGGATACAACGAACCACGCCAAACCCCAAGCAATCACTCACTGGCCACTTCCCAGCACATACAAGACGACAAAATTGTGAAAAGACGAAGTGCCGCTCAGACTTCTTCTACAGATACAGAGCGGAAACGACAAAAATTGAAAGGGACGAGACTCGAACTCGCGCGGGTTGCCCCACCAGGAAACAGATGTTAAGCTGACCTTAACCTGGCGCCATAACCAACTCGGCCACCCTTCCGTGAGACTGCCCAGCTCCGATGGATTGCTCCACAGAGCCCGGCGGACATTGCGTGACGGCTACAACGAGAAAGGGTGCTATATTGGATTCAAGGCCGTGCCTTGGAAAGTCGACGACATCACTCACATCACTCTCATCACATCGCAGGTTGGCAGCGATACTTTTAGCACCAGTTTTGTGACACGTCAATTTGGCGGAAATGCTTTTCTTTCACAGGGTTCCTCCCACCGGCGGAAGGGTCTTCGAAAAGGTTTACTCCGAATTACCGGTAGACTCTCCGTCCTGCATGCTGAAAGTCTGACTTTGAGTCTGTGGTTAGTCAGTTTCTGTCCCTATCCGAGGATACAGTCAGGTAGTGTGTCAACCGCTCTAGCGCCCCGCGTCATGCCGTTGAGAAACATGTCTAGGATAGCCCGCCCGCCTTGAGACTAGGTTCCTTCTAGAATCTCGTCATCTGGAAGTGAACGTCTCGAGACGTCGTGGAATTCAGGCGGTGAAGCTTGATAGACATGCCAGCCAACTTTGGCCCAGTCGATTAATTCACAGTTGTCGCATGTCTTGGAAGTCAAGTTCGTGAGATCCTCGTCTCTATTGCCAGTAGCCAAATGGTCTACCTATCTACAAATCATGAGCTCTCTCCAAGCCCACCTCACATCATCCCCATGCCCAAAGATAATCTCTGAGGCCTGTCTCCCCGGCTAATTCGCCTCTGCCACCCTCAACCGCGCAAGAGATGGTCGGCTAGAAAACCAGGAAAGAAAAGATGTTGAAGTTCTTTTGTTTCCCCGTTAACGCCGTTGTAGATGCTTTGTTCCCCTTTCGAACAATCCGAAGGGTATCTTTCTCATAATGCATTGCTCTTTTTGTGACTTTGGAAAAAAAGAAAACGAAAAAAATCGCTTCAGGATTTGTTCCTGTGTAACCCGCTTTGTGTCTTTGTTGAAAGACGCCACCGCTCCCTTGTTCCGATTGTTTTTAACACCGTTTGACATAATATGAAAAAACGATCCTACCAAAAAGACCACCCCTCGTGTCTTGATGTTGTTTTGCCTTTACCCGAAAAGGCTGGAAACCGGGATTCGTTGAGAACCGTACGCCATGTTTGAGTGCCTGTCCGCATGAATATCAAAATTATTATAAACGTCTAGGTCGTTGCAATGCAGGAAGCTTGTTGAAGAAATCCTGCTCGGTCCAGTACTAATTGACTTAGAACTTGAGAGTCTTAGGCTGCTCCCAGGTGAAGGTCTGGTTGGTACCGAAGTGACCATTCTTGGCGGTCTGGAGGTAGATGGGGCGGTCCAGGCTGAGCTCGCGGACAATGACACCGGGGCGGAGGTCAAAGTTGTCACGGATGATCTTGACGAGCTCGTCGGAGGTCTTGTCGGAGGTGCCGTAGGTGTCGACGTAGATGGAAAGGGGCTCAGCGACACCAATGGCGTAGGAGAGCTGGACAAGGGCACGACGGGCGAGGCCAGCGTTGACCAGGGACTTGGCGATCCAGCGACCGACGTAGGCAGCGGAACGATCGACCTTGGAGAAATCCTTGCCGGAGAAGGCACCACCGCCGTGGGCACCCCATCCACCGTAGGTGTCGACAATGATCTTGCGACCGGTCAGACCGGCGTCACCCTGGGGGCCACCAATGATGAAGAGGCCGGAGGGTTGGATCTGGTGAATGTTAGCACGGAAGCTAGGAAGTAGCGCAACATTGTTGGACTTACGTGGTAGACGGTCTTGTCGTCAAGGTACTTCTCGGGGATGACCTTCTTGATGATCTTCTCCTTGATCTCCTTGCGGAGCTGCTCAGTGGTGATGTCCTCAGCGTGCTGGGCAGAGACGACAATGGTGTCGACGCGCAGGGGAACAACGGCACCGTTGTCGTGCTTGTACTCGATGGTGACCTGCGTCTTGGTGTCGGGGCGGAGCCAGGGGAGGGTACCGTCACGGCGGGCAGCGGACATGGCAGCGTTGAGCTTGTGGGCGAAGAGGAGGGTGAGGGGGAAGAGCTCAGGGGTCTCGTCGGTGGCGTATCCAAACATGATACCCTGGTCACCGGCACCGAGCTGCTCGAGGGCCTTCTCGTAGTGGAGACCCTGGGCGATATCGGGGGACTGCTGCTCAATGGCGACGAGCAGGTTAAGGGTCTTGTAGTCGAAACCCTTGGCGGAGTCATCGTAGCCGATGTCCTTGACGGCGTCACGGACGACCTTCTGGTAGTCGAGCTTGGCCTTGGTGGTGATCTCACCGAAGACCATGATCATGCCAGTCTTGGTGGCGGTCTCGCAAGCGACCTTGGAGAGGGGGTCCTCTCTCAGGCAGGCGTCGAGAATGGCATCGGAGACCTGATCGGCGATCTTGTCGGGGTGACCCTCACCAACAGACTCGGACTATATCGGGAGTTAGCATGGGTATTCGGCATAAGGACTGTCGGCAATTTGCGACCAAAAGATTTTACTTACGGTGAAGAGGAAGTTGCCCTCGTTGTAGTGCGTGCGGCTGGCAATGCCGTTGCCGTTGACACCGTTGGTAGCAGACATCTTGTATAGATATGTGTGGGAGTGTGTATGTGAAAAGATGTGAAGAGAAGAAAAAAGTTTTGAAGAGCTCGGTGCGGTGAAAAAAAACCGACGCGGGGTTCCGAGGGGCTATGAAGACAGCAACGGGTAAAGGCTACTTCTGAATTCAATGGGTCAGCCGTTTACTCTCTTTTCTCTGGGTCTGCGTGGAGCGAAGAGAAGCTCAACGCAAAGTCAATTGCTTACCTTTTGGGATGGAGAGAAGGGACACGGAGGAAGGTGAGGCTTGTGGATGTAGAAGGAGGAAAGAGTGCGAAAAGAGGAGGAGGAAGATGTGGCCGTTCGGGTTTTAAAAGAAACACAAGACGAGCAGCGCGACCTGGGGATGGGGACTTTGGGACCCGACTTGGGACTTGGGATGGCCGGTTGGGAAGAAAATCTCGCTCCTCACTTGCTCCTCTCCTCTTGCTCCTGCTCCCCCTCTGAGGTACCTCCTCTGTACGGGAGTATCTGTATGTACCTTTTGGCTCCGTACCAAAAGCTCAAGCGGATTTGAGGCACTATTCGTGGGAGACATTGGCCGAGGGCCGGACGGTAAGGGAAGGTACCCACCCACACAAGCATAGTAAATTGAGGTGGTGGGAAGGTATATTCGCCGGTCAACCCCTCCATGTCTATGTACCAGCCCTGTCGAGGGGGAGGGTCCAAAATTCTCCAGATTGCGCCATCCTCACGACTTCTCTCCCTTGACCGCCTTCACCTTCGCAGCATACCTATCTGTGACCTGTGTCAGGCACACTCTTATTAGCAGAAAAGGCACCGTTCCAAACACTCTTCAGGCCACATTACAGCACCTCCGTGTACCGCTACGGCCACTACTTGGCCGGTGAGTTGCGGTTCAACAAGATAGTGGTACCAGGGCGGCCTGGCTTGCTGGCCTCTTCCTCAACTACTCGTAGAAGGGAGCAAAAGCTCGGATTTACACAGTCACCAGGATACGCACCCCAACGAGAGCAGCGGTGATCGTTCCCCGAGGGAGCTCGGGCTTCCTCTGTTTCGTCCTTTCCATTTTCCCCCTAGCCTTTTGTCCCTCCCGGCCATGGAAGGCAAGCACAAGCCCAATGGTGTTAAGAACCTTATCCTCGCCTCATTAAACTAACATTTGTGTAGGTAAGCAAGGTAGGGGACACAAGAAGCAGTGCATCGCGCAATTGCTGTGGACAAGCACGGGAGCTGAAACTCTCAACGGGAACTCTGCTGACCAGAGACAGTCTCTTCTCAGACTCTTCTAGTTCTGTCTTTCCTACCAATGCATTGTCAAGCAATGACAATCCGCGAGGCGCCACTTTCTTCCTGGACAAGACACGCGAGTTAATCGATACTTCGAGACTGAGCAATAATGCCCCCTGGTCAAGGTTCGGAATGTCAACGGCACGCGCACACTTCTCGGCGACATTCCCATCCTTTCATCTTCCATTCTCATATACATCTGAATCTGTCCTCTACAATAGGTAGTGACTCCCTCGGCGTATTCCTCCTGCAAAGACTCGCATTCCGAACATGACTGCGAAGCCACCCCTCCAATACCTCTGGAGACAAGTGAGAAACCCCCGCCGAAACAGGCTAATCCCAATTAGGAGCTAAGCTGTATAACATCTCCAACGAGCCTGGTGAGAATATGCCCCTCCCGCGCTCTACACGTGCGAGCGGCATTGGCCCGTAATTCCGCAGCAAGCCGCCCGTCATTGTTCTTACTGTCAGTCTTCCAGAGAGAATGGGAAGGGGCGGGCCACCTCATTCGAGCTGGCATCCTGTTGTCTCTTATCGCAAGCTATCGCTCGCCGCGAAGCAAATTTTTTTTTTTTTTTTTTTTTTTTTTTGCTTGATTGCCATCCATGATCCATCCCGGCACCGGCGCTGATATCACAGTGCAACCTTGTCGCATCCAATTTTTCTTCACCTCGTTGCTCGGCGCCAAAAAGCACCTTAATTAGTGAAGCCTCTCAACCTTACCTCATCTTACTAACGTACCTTTGGGTACGGACACTCTGGGTCTCCCGCGATCCTAAAGTGGCGCGCAAAGACAGGCGCTGCTGATCAACCGCGACCCTTGACGCGTGCCCGTTCCTGCATGGCGGGGTAAATTTCCATCATTCCTCTGCCCAAAAAGTCTGCGACAAGTGACTCTGCCGATCCAAGGCCACCATCACCACCACCCGACCACCCTCCCGAATCGCTGCCGTTGCCGCCACTACCCTACCACACGACACCCAGACACTACCAGACTAGCCAGGTACTCGATCAGGAAGAAACACACAGCCTTTGCTTAGCTCTGCCCTTACATATCTGCCCGCAAACCTCGGCCCGCGAAACGAACCACCCATCGTATTCTCCCTCCCGAACGCCATCATGTCCAAGTACGGCGTCATGGTCATGGGCCCGGCCGGAGCCGGCAAGGTCAGTTCTCAAAGACAACCCCCCTCCTTCCGCTCCGTTGCCCTGTCTCCGTGCGGGCATCCAGAACCGCCGTCCCATCTCCTCTTCGTCCCGTACGCCGGCCGCAGCGCCGGCTACGCCCTCCTCCAAATGGCCTTCCGAAAGCTGACATTCCATCTGACCAGTCCACCTTCTGCGCCTCCCTCATAACCCACCTGAACCTCAACCGCCGCTCCGCCTTCTACGTCAACCTCGACCCGGCCGCCGAGTCCTTTGAGCACGCCCCCGACCTCGACATCAAAGACCTCATCTCCCTCCACGACGCAATGGAAGAAGTCGGCCTCGGCCCCAACGGCGGCCTCATCTACTGCTTCGAGTTTCTCATGGAGAACCTCGACTTCCTCACCGAAGCCCTCGACAACCTCACGGAAGAGTACCTCATCATCTTTGACATGCCGGGCCAGATCGAGCTCTACACCCACATTCCCATCCTCCCGGCCCTCGCCCGCTTCCTCTCCCAGCCGGGCAGCCTCGACATCCGCCTCTGCGCCGCCTACCTCCTCGAAGCGACCTTTGTCGTCGACCGCGCCAAGTTCTTCGCCGGCACCCTGTCGGCAATGTCCGCCATGATCATGCTCGAGATCCCGCACATCAACGTCCTCTCCAAAATGGACCTCGTCAAAGACCAGGTCCGCAAAAAGGACCTCAAGCGCTTCCTCACGCCCGACACGGGCCTCCTCGACGACGACCCCATCTCCATCGCCGCCGCGGGCGGTGAGCCCGATGACGGCCGCGGCGAGGTGCACGATCGCGACCTCGTTATGCGCGGACGGAGTTTCCAGAGGCTGAATCGGGCTGTTGCGGGCTTGATTGAGAGCTTTAGCATGGTCAACTACCTGAAGCTGGATAATACGGACGAGGACAGCGTCGGGGCGATTTTGAGCTATGTGGATGATATTATTCAGTACCACGAGGCGCAGGAGCCCAAGGAGCTCAAGGATGCGGAGTTTGACGAGCCGCAGGACGACTGAGCTCGGCACTTGGTTGTCACAGGAGGCAGACGAGGCTGTTCCCTGATATCCAGGGCTTGCGAATCCATGGGTCTCGCGTGGCTGTGACCGTGGGAGTGAACATTTCCCCAGGTGCTTGAACCCCCAAGATGGATGGCAGATTGACGGGAAACAAAAGGTTCGGCAGATACAGATGGTTGCATAGCGTTGGCGTTGGTATTTATTTATCCATTGAGCTCATTCATAATCGTGTCCGACAACAACATTCCTTGGCATTGTCCCTCTGCCTGCCACTGTAGCGTGTATCATTTGCCTGCTTAGTCCTGAGCCGCGGTGGAGCTTCTCGTCTTCAACCTTCCGTCAGCTATGCGATGCTTATCCAGTCTCGTGAGCCCTATCCCATGGTACTGTAGTCGTCCCCACGGCCTCGGGCTTTATTAACCAACAGGTCGAATATCGCCGTCATGCCCCGTTACGTAGGCCTTGTACAATCGTATCTCCCCCCTCCCCCACCCTTTCCAAAACAATCCAACGTCTTCCTTCCCCGGGGTATATCCCACCGTTCGATTCCCAACAACCTTCTCCCAGACTGCTCAGCAAAGTTCCTTCTCGTCGTGTCGTCTTCCTTCACCGATACTTATTCCCCTGCACCTTCGTCTCCTCCTCATACCGTCTATACTCACTAACCCAAACATCCTTCGCAGCAGCCGCAAACCCAACAACTTTCCCGCCCAAAACAACAGCGTCCCTCGCCGTCTCAAAAACGCCCCTCTGCCACACCGCCGCGACCACCACAACCACACCACCCCAAAACGCAAGCCGCAGCACCAGCGCCGTCCAAAACGCAACCACCCGCCGGATCCAGTTCAGCACAATCACCGTCGCGGCCAGCAGCGCGAGCAGCACCGCAAAGGACACGAGCTCGGGCGACGAGTGTAGAAAGTCGAGGGTCGCGTCGACGGCGGGCGCGAGGTACGGGTAGAGCTCGTCGAACGCGCGGGAGGCGGCGCTTAGAGCTTGGGATTTGAGGTGTTGCAGGGGCGAGGAGGGGTGCAGGGCGTTTTTGTGGATAAAGTCGGCGGCGTCGGGGGGGAGGAGGGAGCGCAGGAGGAAATTTGTGATTGAGGGTTCGGCCATCTTGAGGTGTTGATTGTTTTCTTGTTCTTGCTTGGATTTCTGTGGTGGGCTTTGGGCGGAAGCTGTGCTTCGGAATTTGGTCTCGATGTTGGAGTGATTGGGGCTGGTGTAGAGAGTTTGTTGATACGTGTTTATTTTCCCCTGTCACGTTCTTCCTCTGGCTTCTCGCTGGTCTACTCGTGTGTTGTAGGTAGTCGTCTCTTTTGCTTCCAGTCGCGTGCGTGCTTTCTGTTGTGGAGGAGCGTGTGTGCCTCTTTGATGCCCGTCACCAGATGTACCCAACGAGAGGATGCAGTCTTTGTGTCAAGATGATGTTCGCAGCTCGGAGCCTGAAGAGTAATAAACAGAGACGAAAAGAAGAAGAAAAAAACGGTTGCGGTGAGGTTTGGCGAACCGGGTCTCTGTGCGGATGGGTGGAGGGAAAATGGAAATGGGCCAGGAAGGAAGGTGGAGTTGGACCCTTGGAGAGCGCAAGCAAAGCAAAGCAAAAGCACGAGCACGAGCACAAGCAAATGCGGTGTGCACTCAAGAAAGTGGTGTGTTGGAACTTGGTCTTGGTGCTGTTTTTTTTCTCCCAGTGGGGAAGACGGATGGGTGGACAACGCTAAACTTGCGACGTTCATTCCCACAAGCATGTGAGGGACAAGCACCGACATGATGACATCTAGACAAGTCCAACCAGGCGCTAGTGTAAAATAGACAATAGCTCAAATGTTCTAAACGTACGATACATCTAGTGCACGAGGAACTCCAATGCATTGCAAGGTACATTATTAGATGGTGTCGGAGCATATGTTTATGTAAGGTAGCAAAACAGGAGGTTCTCGACCCGAGTCCCTTGCGCTCGAGCTCCAATCCTGGGTGGCAAGGTCCAGCTTCGACTGTGAGGAAAGGCGACAGGTCAGTCTTCAGAAGTAAGTCTAGGACAAAGTCCCTGAAATTGATCAATCAGGCAAGTCAGTGTATAAATACGTTGCTGCTCTTATTGAGAAAATGAGATCTCTCGGAATAATTGGCGAAAAATAAGCTATGGCGTAGTACTCTTGAACTAGGCTAAAGACTCGAATGGTAAACAAGAACCGTCCAGGTCTCTCTTTAGATGATACACGTTCCCAGCACTGGTATTCTTAGAAAAACGCTTTAGACGTCGAGTCTTCTTTGGAACAAAGGAAAGGTAAGTAGCTCTTGTGCAGAAGAATAGACGAGATACAAGAAGAGAAATGTACCAGCTGATACGCAGCTGTAAGAACGTACAAGAAGGGTATCGAAGTCGAAATAGGAAATGAATCGTTAACCGATTTGGTTTGCGTGGAAAATGACAAGCTTCCTCCATCCAGCTCCGTTCCCCCCTTCAATTGCGCAGCCTCCCACTTTTCATTTGACATTATCAGTTATTCGTTTTAGACAACAATATTTGATGTCCTTGACCTGTTGCTGTCGCTGCATCATGCAGCCCAGCCCCTGCTACTGGTTGGACTCGAACGGGTCCAACAGATCATCGACACGAAAAGAACAACATTATGAAGTTTCGCCCATGCCCTCCAAGATGCGGCGAGCCGTATCGATGCGTCTTCTGTACATCCGACTCTCCGATGATGCCTTACCAGCCTCGCTCATTGCGAGCACGCACCTCCCAAGGCTGGCCACGAAGCGTTCGACAAGGATCTGGTCCTCCTTGGCCAGTGCTTCCATGGGCGCAAGCTGATCAGGGGCATGCATACTCTCTTTGTCGCATATGCTAGCGGTCTCGCTCATGAGAGCATCAGAAATCGTCTTCAGCTCCAGCTCGGGAGAGCCCTGAGGCGTAAGAACACCGACGCTAACGCGCGCCTTACCCACCAACGGGAAGCTTCGGTTGGTACCCGTAGAGTCGAAGGAAGCAGTCGACGGACGGTGACCCATCGTTGCTTGGGTACTCATCGGCCGACGGTAGGCTATGGAGCCAGAGCGCGCGCGTGTCCTCAGTTCCTCTAGAACGTCCTCGCCGCCCATAGTGCTGCCAATTGTCGACCGCTTGGCAGTCCCCGGGCTCTCAGTATGCTCACTGATCGGGCTGACGCTCGGTGGAGTGAGAATACCGTGTCTCAGATCCTCGCTAACATCGCTTGTGCTGATTCTGCTGCCTCGCCCCGAGCGAGCCGTGGCAAAAGACTCAATGGTCGAGGTAGTGTCGCCGCTGCCTCTTCGATGGTGTGATCTTGGCCGAATCGACTCATCCGACGTCATCGGTCCGCGGGTTGTCTCGACGGAGCTTTCGGAACTAACGCTGCCCCGACGCTGTTGACTCAGGTTGCCCAGTGCGCTGTGGAGGAAGAAGTGTTCATAATCGAAAGCGTCTTCTCGATCTTCGTGGGACATGAAAGTCTGGACCGTATCGTGGTAAAGGGAGTCGCCACTCTCGCTGTCATATCCGTCTCCCTCTTGGACCTGCACGCTATCTTCGAAGCCATCTTCAGTGTGCATATCAGAGATATCGTCTTCGTCATCGTCAACTGCGTCATCCTGGTCCTTGTTTGCCTCCATAGCATCGAGGGCCTTTTGTCGCTCTTCCAGCCGGATGGCTTCCTGGGCTGCATCATACTCATCTGCCACGGACTCGTTATCCTCCACGATCGACGGCTCCTGTAGCTCGACAAGTACATCGGATGGGAACTCCCGCTCTTGGACCAGCCCGTCGACACTGACTGCATCGGCATTCCATGGGTTCTTGTCCGACGTAGCAGTCAAGGGCGGCGATTGCTGATCTTGATTTTGGGCGTACCACTGATCGACCTGCGCATGAGTAAAAGGGCTTGGCGTTCGTAAACTTTGGAGGCTGCGTCGTCGCATTGTGTCCGCGCGGGCCTGTTCTCTCAAAGACGAGATCTTGCCTTTTAGATCTTGTACCTGCCCCTTCAAATCGCGCATCTGCGCTACTGATGCTGAGCGCACCAAAGGTCGATCGCGGCTCGAGGAACTGAGTGCCGGGCTCAGCAAGCTTTCACGCTTAGTATCATCGCTCCCCGAGTGGAACTCTTGTGCGACTTCATCCTCGCCAAGGGGTTCCAGGCTTATTTCTTGTGCCGCCTTGTAACGGGACTGACCCTCCCCTCCAGAGTTCAGGCGTTCCAACGTAGCATCGTGAACGTTCTTACGCGCGGAGTACGGTTGTCGGTAGCCCCCAGCCGCTCCCATGGCACTGGCAGACCTTCTTGGGACAGTGCCGTTATTGCCTGTGTCGTAGTTGAGAGACGTATCACTCAACATCCTTGCGTGCCCGTGAATAGACGTTGGCGAGGTTGCTGATGAGGCAGGGCGCAGAATCGTGGGAGACGGGGTCGAGTTATTGCCGTCGAACGAAGACATTGAAGGAGTTGAGATACTCAAGGAGCTTCGCGCTCTCGACAAGTTGCCTTCCATGGTCTGGAAATGTCAGCCTGCCTTTCTTACTATTTCACCGGAGCCAAAACTTACAGTCAGCCTCCGCTTGGCATTCGCCAGAATCTGCTCCGCTCGTCGACTGATGAGCGCGGTCGAGTACCTGTTGGGGTCGTCGAGAGATTCTCTGGGTGGTTGATGTATGGCATGTGCCTGGTGGACAGATGCGTCCTCCGCATATGACTCTGCCACACTCTCTTCGTCGTCGCCCTGGAAGTTGCTGTCGTCGACACTTACGGTGTCGTCAAAGTCGGCAAACATGGCGTTTTGGTCTTGAGTGGTGGTGATGGTGCTTGTGGACTCTACGGATGACCGGCGCGAACGCGTCGCTTGAGCCGCCCGTTTCTTCAAGCTTTCAAGCATCTTAGTGGGTGATTGTGGCTGTCGTAAATCGTCGCCGCCTCGATTGTTGGGCCTTGACCAGATCACTGAAGTCGGGCGTGATCTCCTGCCGGGCGTGCTCTCGGCCTCGGTTACCTCACCAATATCGGACAGCATAGTTCCGTTTCCGTATATTATTGGTGTCGTGGGAGTGATGGGGCCGGCGATATACGCGCTGGGAGGGAATTGGAACTGCATGTTCATATCGACAGCATGCGAATTCTTCCACATTGTCAGCGGAGAATGAGACCGGTCGGGAGAGGGCGAGCGATCGTAGTCGGGCAGAATCATGTCGGGATTCGTCAACGTAGGAGAGGCAGGCCGCGGGGGATACGATGAGGTGGAGCTCGAGTGAGCATGGCCCGCGTGGGCGTTTAAAGTCTGAGTTGCCATTGTTGTTGATGGCCAGAATTGGTTGCAAACGACTCAGGTACCGTTTGTGCAGCCTCCTGCGCAGTGTATGATCTAAGCTGCAAGACGTTGATTGTCGTTGCAGCGGTCGTGGAGTCTAGCGACACAAAGCGAGTCGGTCCCCAACGGGGCTAGCTGCAATTAACCGGTAAACTTTCAAAGGCGCAAGAACCTCAATGGACAGTCCAGTCACTCTTTGTAAACAATAAGCAACAGTCAGGACGAAGGCATCTGGGCAAAGTTTCGGGCAAAGTCAAAACGTTGCCCACGTCTGCTTGGCCCGTGGCCCGTCCGGTCGTGATTCGGATGGATTAAGAGTTGATTTCCAGGGTCGAGCTGGTTGTCAGGTTTGCAACCAGATCAGATGAAGCTAAACGTGCTACAAGCAAGTCGCGGAAGTTTTTGGCGGGGTTCGAGGCAAAAGTGCAGGTTCAACAAGAGACGTCGGAAATGTCGTTGAGAGTCGGCCTCCTTGGGGCACCGCTGTAGATATGCGAGATTGGGTGGTGGCTTTTGCGGGCGCTGAGTGTAGAAAGCGCGGCAGTAAGTGGGAGTCCGTTTGCGGGAATAGAGACGTCGTTCGTCGTATGCATGCGCAAAGGCATCAAACAAGCTGCCGTGTTCGGGGTAGGTGGCCGGAACGAGGAAGTCGAGGTGCCGGTCTGTCGTCGATCGAAGAAAGAAATCGGGATGCAAGAGCAAACGGCGTCCGTTGTGAGCGAATCCGGCTTTTCTCTCTCCTTCTTTTCCTCCTCTTGCAACGTGTTGGGGTGATGATGCACAGCTGTGTCGCGACAGGCTCCAAGTTTAAGGGGTTGCAGCTGGTGGTTTTGGGGCGCGAAAGCGATGGGGGTCCCCGCAGGATGTTTGAAATTATCGAGAAAGTCGACCAATGAGACGGTACCGATGTTTGTGAGACATGCAGCGGGTGCTCTAGTGCTTGTCCTGTCTCTCGCTGAGGTACAGTTGTAGCAGCCGCAGGAGCAAGGCACAAGTATTCGTACAAAACGAGAGGAAGTGTAGGTGAAGGGTCGAAGATGAGCCTGGTGAATGTCTCGTGGTTGCCGTTCGTTTCCCCTTCACTGATCTGCGTTGGCTGTGCAAGCAAGATAAGATGACAGGCTGCGGGAGATGAGCGGCCCAGGGATCGAGTATGCGTACATATGCGTACGGAGTAGAGGTATACAGCACACGCCGGGCAGAGCAGGATCGCAGGAGGGCTCGAGACCTGAGGCGGCAGTTGATGCGTCCAATCCAATGGAAGGTACTTGCTTTGCTGTAGCAATTGTGCAGCGTGTGTTCATTAAACACGCAGAGAGTACAAGTACACTATGCCGCAGCTGAAAGGTGTAGAGTACGGAGTATCGAGTAAGGTAGGCAGGTACCTTTTTCTTTGGAAGCCAGCGGAATGACAGGCTGTACGAGCGCGGACGGGCGAAGCCTGGACCGAGCCGGATGGGAAAACAAAGTAACAATGTATTCGTACTTGCGCTGCAGTAGCCAGCTGCCGAGAACGGTCTTGGCTTGTTGATCGGCGAGCTGACTATGAGGAGTGTGGAACAAGTGCGTGGTACGGAATGCCCATGGTCTTGTTTGTACAAAGTAACCGTACACAATAGCATCCGTAGTACGTACGGAGTAGACGCGCCAGTGACACTGACAGGAAGAACAATGCCCTTCAATGGGGCTTCTCTGGGCCGTCAACTGCAGCTGTCGCGTGGCATCCGAGGCTCATTAAGTCGGTCCCTCTCCTAATAGAGCCCCAGTCCACGTTATTACTGCTTGACTGCTCAGTCTGAGTCTGAGAGCGTGCTGGTCTGGCCCCATTGCCTGATGTCTCGCTTCTGGTCAAGTCATCATCTTCTTCCCGCGTCTCTTAATTCGCGAAATAGCCAGTACAGGGAACAGGCATTCCCCATGTCCAGCAGCCCTTCCGTTCGTAAATTTTTCAAATCTCTTGCTCCAACAGGGAAGGAGACCAATGCTCGCGCGCAAGTTCACAACCTGGTTCGCACTTGGTCTGCTCCCCCCTTGACCGGCCGCTTCGACCCTAGCCCGCGGTGGCTTGCTAGAGCAGCATGGCTGCACATGGGGGGTTCGCGATGGCGGCGTGGGCGGTCGTGGGCGGTCTCGTTCCTTTCTCTTCCCAGCGGCGTTACCAGTCGGAAACTTCCATGGGACCTTGCATTTTTCTGTAGGCTGTCCACTTCGAAGCACCAATGCGAAGCGACATCAGCGCTGCCGCCATGGGTTCGTAAGGTATCCGTAGTTCGTAGTTCGCACCTCGCAGTGTTCCTGGCGTTGCTGAACTGGGCCCGTAGCCCCTGTTGGGACAAGCGTTGTTCCTTTTCTGCGGTTGCTTTCCTGCAGGTGCTGCCCTGCGGTGCCTGGCATGAATGTTGAAACTGCCAGGATGATTGGACCCGGAGAATGAACTTACCCTTAAGGTCCTGGGGCCCCCCGGTTCCTCCCAAGCATTGGCCAGCAAGTGGAAAGACTAGAAGTGGACTTTCATGGCGCACAAGAAATGGAGCTGCGTCAAGGAAAGAAACAGTCCCGGGCCCCGGCGTCTTCTACAATGGGTACAAATTTCAAAGTACCTAGGGTACGGAGTACTTCACACCTTCCCACCTTCCATTCCTTACCAAAATTTAGAGAAAGGGAGTAGGTGCAAGTCTTCCGTGCCTCCTTCCTTCCTCCTTCCTGTGAGCTGACTGGGTGCAGAACAGCAGGTGCAACAGCCTGCACAGGCACGGGGCACGGGACACTTGGCAGGAGCTCATGGAGAACACCGCACTCGCACGGTGGTGGAGCCTTGGAACGTTGACGCAAATCTCGGCAATTCATCAGCCTTCCGCATGCAGAACCCTGACGTGCCTGGCTGCCCTCCCAGAACATCTCAACCGCCTCTCGTTCCATTTGTGGACGCACCGCGGGAATCCGGTACTGATCGAGCAAAAGGCCGTCGAATCTCCATTTAAGACGAACCCATCCAACCAAGTTTAGGCTTCATCACAACCTCGTTGATGACCTTGGTCTTTAGACTCTACTCCGTATCCGTAGAGAGCTGTGGAGATATTGGCCCCGGACTCCTCAAATGCTGCCCTACTTTGGCAATGATCTGAAGCCTTCCTCCGACTTCGACTAAGACTCGACCCTGAGGGAGGCTCCTCTCAAGTCCTAGCGGCCTATTTGGCATCCATGCAAACTCCCAGGCCGTTGGATGCGGGCGGGGCACCGAAACTGAATCAGCGATCGAACAACCGAGCCAAACTTGCCAAATTCCTCGCGGTTTCTGGAATGTTGGCAACCCTTACTCAAGTATCCGTATTCCGTACAGACATCGGCTCATTCATCCTATGACAATATACTGCTGGATTGCGCCTACAGCCTTTTCTCATCAATCCCCTTCGTCGGATGCACTGTGTTGCATTTCACCCTGGGCTGAATTTGCCTGTAACGCGCCTAGGCCGATAGGAGCCAGAACGAGGGAACGACTCGGAAGATGGGATACCAATGGCACCTCAGCATTCCCACTCCCACTCCTACTCCGTTGCGCGCCAACGCGTCTCTCCCACCAGTGTCACTGTCCCAAATTCGCAACTCTGCAGTGACGCCATGCATCTTTAACTTGACACAGGCATCGCCCGGTCGATTCTTATTACAGGTCAGATACGGATATACCGCGCTCGTTTATCTAACAAAATTTTCTCTCCTTATTTGCATTGACTCTAGTCGCCGACCCAATCTCGACGCCAACCATCTCATCGCAAATCTTGGGTGAATCCAGCGATCCGTCGTAACTTCAAACCAGCGGCACCCTTGCCACGCTCAAACTACTGGACCATGCCTTCCATGGACGGGACGGGCATCCCGAGCGCGGGGGAACTTGCGGAAGAATATGGCAAGCCGCGAACATATTCTCCACACTACGCTCGTGGTCTGTAATAACCCCAACGAGAGCAGCTTCGTGAATGTCAATGATCGGCTTTCCACCAATCTCATCATGAGCCAGTAGCCCCAATATTGAATCGCTTGCCCTACGCACCGGTTAATGAGGCGTTGCGCCCGGATATCGTCGCCTATCTTGTTTCGTCTTGGGTTCTTGGGGCTCTGTCCCTTTCCAATCAAAGACAGGGAATATTCCCCGAGAGTTCTACGCGACCACCACGCCGGCAATAAACTCTCACGATGACTAGGAAGTCATGACGAGCTGGTCGTTTGTCGTATGGCCTGTTGTGGCGTGCTTGATACTTCCGCTCCGCATATTTGGGAATCTAGAATGTACCAAGATGATGTTCCCGAGGGCCTGGGCCCGGTCCCTTCATATGTCTCAGATCCCGTCAAGCAATGCGTCTGACGACAGCCGCATTGTCGCGAACAGCATGAATGTCCACATGATGATGGCATCATCTCTGACTTGACCATCTCATGCAAAAAAGAAACAAAACGACGACACGCCATGTTTTAACTCCCTCCATTGTGACACGGGTAGACGCGCGTGTCTTGTTTTTTCTTCTATCTTGATCTTAAAATGTCCGGATATACCCAATAGTCTATGCTTTTTTCTGTATCTTTTCGCCAGCCCTCAATGCAAATTCCAGTGATCCTCCCGTATGGCTGACCACATATAAACAGTCCATAATGCTTTTGGTTGGCAGCCCTTGTGCCATTTGTACTTCCCATCTTGCGGGTGGGTAATGCGACAACGCTGATTTAGCCCTCAGTGAACGCCTCGCTTCTAGCTTGCGCAGTGGAGGCATCTTCGTTGCCATTGTCCTTGGTCGTGGGACGGTTGGCGATAAGGCGCTGTGAGAAAGTTAGGCACGAGGTTTCCCAACATGAATGTGATTTGAATGAGATTAGTAGTGTTACATACCACCAAGTTTCTCAAAAGGCACGCAATCGTGACCTTGCCGACTGACGGGACATAGATGGCCGCCTTCTCCTTGACAGTGGGCGCGTCAAAGTTGCGGTGGGAGGAGAAGTTGATGCAGACGGCACCCTCGCGAATAAGGTCAGTCGAGATCTTATACTTCTCGCTGGGGACGCCGCCGATGATGACATCGCTGAGGGGGAGGACCTGCTCCAGGCCCCAGCCCTCCTTGTTCTGGACCTGGTGGCGGATCTGCTTGATGCCCTTGCCGCGGGTGAAGAGCTGGACGCCGGTAATGTCGACCGAGTACACCGTGGCGCCGTCGTTGGCGAGCAGGGCGGCCAAGGGCCGGCCGTTGACCTCGGAGCGGTTGATGACGGTGATTGTCTTGCCGAACAGGCGGTTGCCGTAGGCGAGGATGGGGTTGTAGATCTGGAGGTGCTCGAGGATCTTGACGACGGCGAGGGGCGTGCAGGGGAGGATGGACTTTCTCAGGTTCGCGGGGGGGTCGAGGAAGCGGACGTTGTGGTACATGTTGAAGATGTGCTGGTGGCAGAGGCCCTCGACATCCTTTGCCAGGGAGACGGTCTCCTGGATGTACTTGTCCTGGAGGGGGTTACCCGGGAAGATGGGGTAGTAGACGATGATGCCGTCGACCTTGTCGTCCTCGTTGGCCTCGGTGATTCTTTCCTCGAGCTGCTCCTTGTCGACACGGCGCAGGTCAAAGTCGAAGCCGCTGGAAAGGGGGTTAACACCGTCTCGTCAGCTACCTTTTGCATCCAATTTTGCATTTTTTTGGTTTATACATGTCTTGTCACACACATACGCAAAGACGACTTGTCTCTACAGCGACAAAAGGGTTTGTTTCGCCTACTTTTCGACGCAGGTCTTCTTGGACCACTCAGCATACTGCAACGCAGCCGGATCGTCGTTTGCCAGGAACGCCGCCAGAGTGGGCTTGGAGGCGCCATTGCCCTGCACCTTGGCGAGGGTCTCATGAACCTCAGCCAGGAGACGCTTGGCGATGGTGTCGGCCAGAATGACCTTGCAGGTCTTGGGCACAGCTTCGTTGGAGGCCATCTTTTGTGGAAAAGAGCAAAATCTCCAATTTTGATACGCAGCTGTGCAGTGTTGTTAGTTTGGTTCTCGCTCTGTTCTCATTCTCAGCTGATAGGACCCTTCACTCACATATGTGGTTGGAGTGATTTGCCCGTCGGCTCCTATCCCCGAATTAGTACTTGTAAAAAGCCCCACCACCTCCGACCCCGCGATGCCGCGTTCTGTAGGCATGTCGGGAGTGAAGGAGGGAAGACTCACTGGTTCAAGTGACCAATGTTACGGCGGATACGGTAGTGGCAATTGATCTGGATTCGAAATCCGACTTTTCATGCGGTATTGGGCAGCGAAGGTGAAGAAAGGTTAATCAAGTGAAGCTGAATGGCTCCGAGTCTTTTGGAGGGGCGCGCTCCGACTTCGACGTCCAAATTTTTTTCCCTCCGTTGCTGGCACAGGACCCCGCGGCCCTTGCGCAGTCCCGTCTGTGTTACCCCTCCATACCCTCTTACCCAATTAGGACTAGTCGCCCACCGTTTCCATCTGCCGTAATTCCTCTCCAGGCTGAAAGCGTTAATAGGAAACAGGTCGTAGCAAACAAACGGCTCAAGAATAATCCTAACTCCAGACATTTTCTCTCAGGCTATGCCGTTTCTTATCAATGACCCAAAATAATTCGAATCTGTACTCAAAGAAGGATATGTCAAGTCTCAACGCTAAGCCGAGAAAGGAGCGTTTATCGGACATTGGTTCCTCCAGACCGCGATAACAGCGATAAGAGCTATACCGCCTTCTCAATTCAGATATCCCCCACCAACAACCCAGCAAGCCTGAGTAATTATCTCACAACTCATCACCGGCTTTCGGTGGTATGAAGCCCAGTCTCGGCAACTGACAAATGCCCAACGAACCATTCGCCAAGTCAACATTCCCCTCGACCTAGAACAATCACTGCCTTCACAACATTGGATATCTAGACAAATAATTCGCATCAAAGGAGAAGACCTTGTCACTCCTTCACACTTTTGGGAAGCATTTTGAGCAGGCGCGGGGTTGGCTTTGGGACTATTTGAGGAAAGAGCGACGGAATATCTCACGACTTCTCACTGCAACGCCTTTCCGATTACACCTAGACAACGACAGCTCAACATCTACACCATCTTCACACTGCTCAGGGTGGAATCAATTCAGCAATATACATTGGGCGATCACAACTACCATTAGACGCTTTTGATTTCGACGCATCTCACAACTACCATGGCCGATTTTCGGAAACTCGCACTTGAGTTTGTGCTCAGTGATGATAGTGAGAGACAAACCGCAATCACACAGGAGGCAGCTTCAGGTACGTATAGGGAGCCGTCTCTATCCTTCTCCCAGCTACGTGGACAATGTGCTGACGTTGGCCCAGAGATTCAGTCAGCACCCAGACCCAGCAATCCAGTTGCTAGATGGGTAGAATCTATCAGACCCTGGATGCCCAGCGCAAACGAAGATCAGGATGACGGCGATGGCGATGTCATTGCACGGTCCAAAGGTATTTGGGCAAGTGCGGGGTTGTGATCAAGATGAATACTGACTATTATGCCTTCTTTAGCTTTGAGTTTCCTAGCAGGGACTCTTGAGCATCTGGATCCCGCATTTCTCAAAGCTGATCAAAGTAAGTAAGGCCGAGGCCTATTGAGACAAATGTTCATTGCTAATATCATCTTTTCAGCCAATCTCTTGGTGGCTTTCTTTGGAAGCATGTTCAAGGTCGACCACAAGGCTGGTATTATGCCTGCTGCCAAGGCTCTTGATCGAACTGCTAGCATGAAGACATTCCAGCCACAAAAAGGAAACGACATTATTCAGAGTGTGTGCAGCCTTGGTGATGATTTCAAGTCCCAGGTCGCAGAAACCCGTGGCACAGTGTATGAACTTCTGGACCATCTCATCACCAACCCGGATGTAGCAAACGACTTGCAGTACCAACACGGCACAACCTCAGGCTTCATCACAGACCTTTTGCAACTATGTCGCAACGAGCGAGACCCCAAGTGCCTGATGACTTGGTTCAAGATTCTGAAGGTCTTTCTTTCAGACTACTCCCCTGCACAAGAGGTTGTGGATGAGATTTTCAGTATCTTTTCAGCATACTTCCCCATATCGTTGAGAACGTCACAGCATCCTTCGGGAATCACAGCGGATGATCTCAAGTTAGCTTTGAGGGCTTGCTTTTCAGCACATCATCGCGTTGCTAGCAAGGCCATTCCATACCTCCTCGGCAGGCTAGACCAGCCGGACAGTGTTAGTGTCAATGTCAAGGTTTGTGTTCTTCCTTGGAATATGTTATGCCTATATTAACAATGTCATAGGTTGATATCCTCAAGACCATGACCGCATGCCTCAGCAGCTACGAGCATGTTCAACAAGGAGTCACCCCCTTTACTGACAAGATTTGGGACAGTCTCAAGTATGAAGTCCGCAACGGGGAGATCGAAGACACTATCAACGCAACCTTGGAAGTCATCCGAACAGTCGCCAAAAGACTGACTGGGGACGAGCTCAGGGATTTTGCTCTGACTGTTCAAAGAGACTGCTTGGAGGATCTGTCAAACCCAATCTACACGGCGGCCTCAGGAAAGCTCTTGATCTCCATTCACAGCGCAAAGCCAGCTGCCTTTGCACTCATGATCTCCCCGTCCGTGACGCATATCAAGGAGAATCTCCGCCACACAAAGTCACCTGACCATACGAAGAACCTCCTAATTCTTCTGAATTCTCTACTGGAGCTACGGTTAGCCCTAACTGGAGGAGACGTGGAGCTGAGTGCCGAGGACGCCGAGGCCTTCAAATCCACAGAGCCACTACTTGCCCCTATCTACAAGCAGACGTACCTGCCTCTTTTCCAAAAGGCTCTACAGGATACAGCCCAGCCAGAAGATATCACCATCGGCCAACAGGCAACGAAAGGCCTGGGATTGATGGTCTGTCAGAGAGCAGCTCAAAGCGGACAATCCAACCGCCCAATGCTCCCAGAAGAAACACTTACCGAAATTTGCGACAACCTAGCAACTCTTGCGCTCCAAGCTCCCGGCGAACTTGCGAAAGACAAGAACCAATTGAAGATATCCGACGAGGCCGCCATTGCTCTACAGAAGGCCACGATGGCACATCCTCCGGCTCAAGCAAAGCTGATCGCGATATGCTTCCAAGTCTGTGACGCTTACAGCACTTCGCCTTCGGCCAAAACGTTGGACAGCGTGCACGACGTTCTCAAGTATAACCTTGCCAGACTGACTTACGTCTTTTGCTCCCAATGTCCTCGCTCTGAGAAGCTCAAACTCTACACATCCTTCTTGGAAGCGCTGCTGGTTAACCTCCACAAGATGATGGATGTCAAAGCTGACCCGAAGATTTGGTCGGTCATTGCTACCTACATATTTTCAGCCATGCTGCAATTCAAAGAAGCAGCCAAAGAACACATTAGCCATCCCGTCAAAAACAACTTTAGCGACAAGAGATTTGATAACAACTGGGTTACCTACGTGGCGAACCGCTTCGCTAATCTGCGACGTCGCCCTGACGATCGGATCGACGCGATGGAGCTGACAGACGAGAGCAACGAAGTTGACAATCTCCAAGGCGACCTCGCCCTGATTAATCTTTACGTCGCTCGACAGCTTTATAGACGAGCCACCAAGATCATCAGTTATGCCAACAATTCTGAGCTTTCACTTGCTTTGAGCGATGACTTTAGCAGGAAGGACCCTGAGGACAAGAACGAAGAGGATGCCTACTTGCACCATCTCTCGAGCATTGCGACATTCACCATCCAGCATATGAGCGAATACCAACAGACCAACTTGCTTTTGAACGAAGAAGTCGTGACACTCTTCCGTGGAAGCGACCGGTACACCCACCCCAATCCTGATGAGAACCACAGCTGGAACAACAGCGAGCTGCGAATGGCCATGCTGCGGACCATGGGTCTTCCACAACCCCCTTACACCCTAAGAAATCCTCCCCAGTTCCCGATCAGTGGTTTCAGCCATGGCCGCACTGTTGTGCTTTCCTTGGGCATCATTCAAGCTTTCCACCCGACGACAGTTGAGCGATTGGTAAGATAAGCAAGAAGCTAAAATTATGAGCACTTTGCTGACCCTTCTCTTAGGTTGAAAGAGGAACCGCGCATCAAATCTTGGTTGCTGGCCTTCTCACCAGAGACCACTCAGACTCGCCAAAGTGCCGCCATGTCGTTTCGGCCATCCTGTCCGTCATCGCCAACAAATACAAGGTCGAGAACTTGAACGACATTGTCCAGATGATGGAGACTCAGATGAATTTCGTTGTCAGCGAAGAAAGACTCTCGGACAAGCTGGAACGAATCACCGGCTACCTCGATCACGAAGAGAATGTGGTGGCTGGTCACAGCGTCAACGACCTCAGAGCAGCGCTGGCAAGGCCTGTATTCGCCATTGTCGCCGGCGTTCTCCGACGCTACACTGGTAACGCTCTCAAGAACGTTCTCACGGCTATCACTCAAGGTCCCGGCAACAAGAAGATTGGTCACATGCTTGCTCGCAGCATGGATTTCATCTTCACCGACCTGAACGTCGCTAAGCCACAGCTGTACGGTCAGCTTAAGAAGCTCTGGGTACAGAGGGCCTACTATGAGTTGGTCAGGCCCATGCTTCCCAAGGCTTGGCCTGCCGGCTCGAACAGCAAGGATGACATGCTCGTTGCCGCCAATTACAGTATTGCAGTCCTGAGAGCAGTCAAGCACATCAGGTACGCGCACTACGAAGACGATACGGAGGACCTCATCCGAATCATCCTTTGCGCAATTCGCAACCTGCCGGCTAGCGCAGATGTGGCAGCAGGTCTTCATATTCTGGTGGTCATTACGGAGAACTCGCCCAGACGCATGCAGCCCTTCCTTAAGAGCGTCATTGATGCTTCCTTGTCGATCTTCAGAAGAGGCAGAACACATCAAGCCGGTGAAGACAACGCCTGGATGCCGGAGAACTACATGCCCTTTGACCGTTCCGGATTCCAGGAGGCGCAATGCCGGGCTCTGGTCGTTCGTCTCATTGGCCAACTGCCGCCCAACTTTGAGCATCGCCATCTCCTTGACTCGGCGTCGCAGGCCAAGCGCTTGCTGGCTCAGGCTTCTGGTGACGAGTCGCGAATGGTCAGAGAGGCTGCTCTCAAGTCTCGTAAGGCTTGGGATGACGTCAACTAAGTATGTTGAGTAGTCATAGGTTGAAAGACCCTTGACGAAGAATGGGTCGAATACACTGGGATGCTTCACACTTTTGGCACGACCTAGTTGACTTTGAATTGGCCTTGAGCGAGACACGAAAATGACGGATTGTTGGTACATGGGGGCGGCGACTCACATGTTAGAATATGAGGTGGGAGACGGGGGATACTTGGCGGACTTGCATGATGGTGAGGGTTGGTGGCATGGCGAGGCGTTTGGAGGTCCATATGGACCAGTATTAGACGACCAGCATTCAGTGCAATGAGTTGAAATCACAGAAGGCATTGCAAAGATTGACTGTAGACACTCGGTTATTGCGCATAAATGCGTTCCAGAGTATGAGCCGACCGAGGGATGGAGCGAACAATGACGATTAACACCGTGGCATGGATGTACCATCGTGGCACTTTCGAGCAAAATGCTTAGCAGAAACGCAGACTCCATGCTTTTGAAGGCCCAGATTATCCGTAATTTACACAAAAAGGGTCATTGGCACGCCCATGCGACAGAAGTCCAAACCACCTCGGGTCCGGCCCGCCCTATGCCTTGCGTCTCTTGCTTCCACCCTTGGCCGCCTCCGCGCCGCTCCCTGTCGCCGTGTTCTCCGCGTACAGTGCGTCGAGGACGTCGGTTGAGTATCCCTGGGAGGCGGACGTGACGCGCTTGGGGTCAAGCTTGCCGACGACGGGGATGTTGGTGGCGAGGATCTCCTGGAAGGGGACCGCGACGAAGCGGCCTTGCGAGTCGAACCACTGGTTGAAGGGTTTTGAGAGGTTGATGACCTTCTTTTCGTCATTCTTTGAGGTAAGGGTGATTTTCATGTTGTATGTAGGTACGTTCTTCTTTGTTGAGGTTGCGATGTTGACCTGTTTCCCGAGCGTGTAAGTCGATTTGTCCATACCCTCGCACTGCATGCAGCTGGTTGGAGTACGAAGAAGTGATATAGCCTTACCTTCTCGCCTGAGGGGGATGTGCCCTCATACACGGTGCCCGCCTCCTTCAACCAGATCCATAGTGTGAGGGCGCCATTGAGGATGGAATAGAGAACTACAGCGGCGGCCGTGTAGTACTTTGTGCTGTCGAAGCCGAGCTGATAGTCCCAGAGGAAACATGCGCCTGCAATCAGAAATGCTGCGTAGCCGAGCGCGAGGCGGACATCGGTGAGCGTATGGGATTGGGTAAATTTGAGAGAGTTGAGGTAGTTGGGGAGCGCATCGTCCGAGGTGTTCTTTAGGTCTGGGGGAGGGAGCTTGTGTTAGTGTGATGCAACAGCTAGGCCTAGCCCATGGCCATGGGGAGGATAAAGGGGAGTGCATACCGGCCAGGTTATGGACCGTGATTTTTTCGGAAGACATCTTTTCTGGTACAGTGCTGAGATCCCGCCTTTGAAAAGACTTGACAGCTATGTGTGAGGCAGGCGGGCGTGGGAGTTGTGATAGTTTGACTTGTAACTTCCAGCCTGGCTTTCGGAGCTAGGACAGCTTGGACCCTTGTGCGAAGTCCCGTCCGTGGGCAGAGCGTGAAAGTGGAAGGTGGTCTTTCGGAGGCCCGGCGAAACAAGTAGCCGAAGGAGCTCCCACTCGAACACAACTCCACCACATTACATTGAAGCTGGCGGAGCTCTCAACCACCTGGCTGCATCGCAACGACGAGCGCCATCACTGTCTCTAATTCCCCATTGCACGGCTCTGAGCGTCAGATACAAGCCCATTATGGCCCAAGTTCCGGTGCAGACGATCCATCGGGATCCCCAGCTCCTGTACGCAAATTCCGACTTGCCCATCCATCCCAGTTGCACCCGCGCATGCTGACTGACAAACCCGCTAGTTATTGGATCCTCTTCCCGATCACGGTGGTCATGGTCTTGACCGGCATCCTGCGACACTACGCCACGGTTCTGCTCGCAACGGCGCCCAAGAAGCTCGACAAGCCCGCGCTCAAAGAACAGCGCAGCCTGATGCACGGCGTCACGGTCCGCACCAACCACCACGTCCTGTCCAAGAAGTCCTTTGAGGCTCGCCGCGATGCGCTCGTCGCGGCGTACGAGTCCGGCGCGTACCTGAAGAACCCGGATCAGAAGGGCCAGCCGCCGGCGAATCCGCTCACCGACCCCGGCGCGATGGACGGAATGATGGGTATGATGAAGAATAACATGGCCATGATTATCCCCAACACGTTGATCATGAGCTGGATCAATGCCTTCTTCAGCGGATACGTCATTAGTATGTTTTGGATCGACAACATCGGGAATATGTTGCAGCTGCTGACCGTCTTAGTGAAATTGCCCTTCCCCATCACCATCAAGTTCAAGAGCATGCTTCAGGCGGGTGTAGCGACGAAGGACATGGATCCCCGATGGATGTCCAGTATCTCTTGGTACTTCCTCTGTATCTTTGGTCTGCAGTCTGTCTTCGTCTTCATCTTGGGAAGCGATAATGGTAAGCTCGAAATGCTCCTGCCCCTCTTCATCCGGCGTACTGACTTCACGCAGCTGCCAGCCAGATGGCCCAACAAATGGGACAGATGGGAGGTGCCGCAGGTGCCCCCCAGATGTTTGGACCCGGTGTCGACCCTGACAAGCAGTTCAAGGGTGAGGCTGAGAACATTGCTGTCGTTGACCACTACTCTGTTTTGGACGATGTTGAGTCAAGACTGCTTGCGGGTATCAAGTCATAGAATTGTAGAATAATACACAAAATCCGCACCCATCCGTACGCCTCGGGGCCCTTATTGTCTGAAGAACGCTTGTGAGATCTCAAAGGCCATTTGATAGCTATTCGCCGCCCTGTCCGTCCCACCAAAGGCACACGCCAAGACCCTCCATGGCCATTGTACCCTTCACCTTATACGGCGGCTTTGGCGGAGCAGCCTCGTCGCCCTGGCTTGGTCCTGCGGGCGTCTGGTCGTGCCACTCCTCATCGATGACTTGGAATCGGACCATTTCGTGATTATCGTAGAAGAGTCTGTCGTCCTCAATGTTCCAGATCCATAGCTGTTCTGAGTGGTTGCTATAGTTGTATTAGTCTTGGGTCAAAATCATGAGACATGTCTAGCTTCACGTACAACTCGGCACCCTCGGGGAGCTCATCGAAGGGGATGAAGATGTCATCAAAGAAGTCGGTTCTCAAGTTGATGCCGGCCGGCGTCGAACTTCTAATCCGTCCAATCATGACTTCGCCCTTGAAGGGTCTAAAGACGATGAGTCTGAATTCCACTATCGCAATAATTAGCCAGAGACGACTCTTTTTTTTTTTTTTTGATCGGCTTGAGTTCGTGTGAATACCATTCACATTGACAAGGCCAGTGCCATGGCCGATGAGGCCTTCAGAGGTCCATAAAAGGTCGTAGAGGCAGACACAAAGTCCAATCTTCTGTATGACCTTGTTGGCGTATTTGGCATTGATGTTGTCCTCAATGGCGGCTTTGCTCTTTTTGCGGAAGTCCTCTGGTGCGATTTCGACCAAGTCGGCAATCTTGGTCTTGATTGGGTCATTTATGTTAGTGACACACTCAAGTGAAATTTGTGAGTTTTCGAGTCTTACTAGGATGAACATCTTCGGCGAGGTTGTCTTCGAGACAGCGGGTTGTAGGCCAGAATGATCCCAGGTAAAAATTGCTATTGACCTGGTATCATCGTCCGTCACCTCAACGCCTCTGAAGGGTCGTGATTGGGTCTTTCGAGTCCTGGTTCAATGTATCGTGTCGGCGCTCAGTGAGATCGCAAAGTCGGCAAAATCGCGGGGCGCTTTGGTCTTGGGAAGCAGATTGACTCTTACCGCCCTCTGTGTTGAGTTTAGCCTTAGCGGTTGCAGGTTCATGTGTGTCCCTGTGGCCCACCATACTTTAGTGGCTCGAGGCCTGCCCAGGCGGCGGGCCTCTGTCGCAACCCGCTGGAACTGTTATTGCGGGACCCGAAATGACTGCAGGGCGACTCCGAAAGCTCAAGTCCTAGGGGCTCCACGCACTTGCCTCAGCTTCGCGTCAGGTCAGGGAAACTGCGTCCTGCCGTCTCTTCCATCCCCAAGCCTTTCGCTTCCCTTCCTTCATCACCTCAATCATTTCAGGTTGGCCGCCTTTCTTCTTCTCTTCAACTGGCGCCCTCTGCATAGAATTCACGAGTTCTGAGCCTCGAATACTGCTCTTCGTTACGTAGATTGATTTTTCAACTGCCCTTGCTGCCCTTCCAAAGATCGGTGCAGAAATCGCCGAGACCGTTACAATCTAATACAGCACTTCCTGCGCTTCTTCCAGAATCCCGAACGCTCTTTTACATCTCGACTGCGAACATAGGAACAACGCGTCGTCGTCCTCGAGCCAACATGTCGGGCTACAACTACGGTCCCCCACCACCTCCGCCTCCGGCTGCCCAGGCTAGTCATCCTGGATATGGGCACCACGGCGGCGCTTATCAACAGCATTCACGAGGCGGAGGTGCCCATGCTGCCCGTGGCGGGCGTGCTGGCTACCCATCGAACGGTGGCCGCCCTGAGTATCCTCCAGCTCATCAGCCGCAGTACGAATACTCTCGCCAGCAGCCATTCCCTCAACACAGCCCAGGATATCCCGCCCAGCAACAACCTGCTGGCAACAACTACCCTCCCCAACAGCAGTGGCATCAAGACCACGCACATAGTGCTCCTCAGCATGGTGCTCACGCTCCCACTCCTTTGTCGACTTCCAACTATCATCCAAACTACGCTCCCCAGGTCTACGCTCATCCTCAACACCCGCAACACCCTCAGCCGCCACCTCACCAGCCAGCCTACGGGCCACAGCAGCCGCAACAACCACAGCAGCAACCCTACGGTCAACCATATCCCGCTCCTGCACAATATACCGCTGCCCAGCCGTGGGCTGGACACGACCCCCATGCTCAAAGTCCCTATGGCGCTGGTCGCGGTCGCGGCGGTTACGGAAACGATCGAGGCGGGCCCCGAGGTCCTAACATGGCCACGCCTGCTCCTGTAGCCTACGGTAGTGATAGCGCTCAGCATCAAGCGAATAGTGGATATGGCCAGCCGTATGCCGATCCACGCGCGCAATCCGTCCAGTATCAAGCTCCAACGCAATATCCGTACCACGCCCCTCCCCCAGCGCCTCACGCAGCGATTCCTCCACAGGAGCCGTACTACAAACATGATGGACAGGCCGGTCGAGGCCGTGGTGGTCACCGTGGCGGCAACCCACGCGGCCGTGGCTCGTTCCACGGCAACGACAGGGGCCGTCATCGTCAACAGGGCAACAACAACCACAACCACAATCACAACAACAGACAAGATGGGGGAGGGTTCCACCATAAGCATGACAAGCACGACAATGCTGCTTCGGGTAAGAAGAAGAAGCGTAAGACTAACACCCTTGGTCTTACACCTGGCCAAGACTCAGAGTCGGAAGACGATGAGATGGAAGAGGAGACGCTTCGCAAGTTGATTGGAGCAGATGCATTGCAGTAAGTCAGATGTCGACCTCAGATTTTGCTCTAGCTGACCGTCTCGTAGGGTGACTGATGTCGCTTCGTACATTGCTGAGCGGAAGAAGCGCTTCCCCACGGCTGCGCGCGTCAAGGCTAAGAAGTCTGTCGAGACCACGCAAGGAAGTGGCAACAAAATCCATTCTAGTTTGGAAAAGGAAGAAAACCTCGCCAGCAAGCTGAGGCGGCAACTGGAAAAAGTTGAATCGTCTATCAAGCGCAAGCGTGAACAGCAAGACGAGGGCGATGAGATGAGAGACAGCCCCTCCATTGATATCAAGTCTGAAGACGATGAGCCAGAAGTCGCGTCAAGTCGTGTTCAGCCGGCCCCCCCTCCTCCCCCTCCTGCAAAGAAAGCAGACATTTCAAAGCATTGCAAGTACTACTCTACGGGAGGTACTTGCGGCAAGAAGGGCAAGTGCCGCTTCGTACATGACCCTGCTATTAGGGAGGCAGCCATGAAGGAGAGAGAGATGAACAATGGCCACCTCACCATCCAGCAGCGCTTGATCTTGAACGACAAGGACCAAGAGGACCTTACTGTTCTTCAGTCAATCCAATACCTGCGGGAGAAAGGCCTGATGAAGCCTGAAGATCAACCCAACGGTACCAATGAGCACAATGGGTCTGGGAGCTCCCAGACCTCCCAATCTCAATCCCGCCAGCATCCCAGCAGTCTCCCAGCTGCACCTGCTTCTCTCCCAGCGCCACCTATGAAGCATCACGGGCTTCCTCCCCATAAACCGCCTCCTTCTGCAGGCGGATCTACGGTTCGATACAAAGGCTGGAACTTGAGTGGATATGGGAACTCAGGTCTCAAGTCGGAAGATCTTCCATAGAGGGCTGCCACAAACGGCCAAGGCCGGATGTCACTCAAACGCTTCAACTCTGCACTGCTTCCACTAGAAGTGTGCCTCAGTTCTTTGTTCACTGGCCCGCCTGAGTATGGCGGCCTCGAATTATGCACCAGGTCTCTCGCTACGGCGGAGAAGTCATCCTGATGTAGCGATTCTCACTCGCAGCAATGTTTGTGTTTTGTACCTGATCGAAATCTAATCTACATCAAAGAAGTTGGGCAAGGAAAAAGTATACTTAGGATCACATCATCAATCCTTGCCAACCCCATATCGTTGACTTTGGCCACGCTCGGACGACTGTGGCTTCGGCATTTCGGTTTCCTTGGTTGCGTCGATTACCTTTAGGGCTGAATCTGCAAAGTTGCGATCCCAGATCGCGTGTAAGATCGTTTCATCAATCAAAAGGGGGCGAGACTGGCGATACGATGGCATGGGCGCGATTTCTATTCTACAAGTTCATGATTTTAGAGCTGCCGGAGTTTGAGGATGGGGCTGAGTAGCTTCGCAAAAACCGCTTTGAGTTGACTGCTTCAGGACTTGCAGAGGAGTTTTTGAACCGACTGCAGCCCGGTTCGGCTGTATTATCTGATACCTCAAGGAGGGCTTCGCATCGGGCTTATAGAATGGAAAATATCAATGACTTTTACGTTTCGTTGTCTTGGTGCACATTGCAATTAGTCGTAACGAATAAAACTTGCACCTTGAAAACCCCGGTTGGTGGTCATTTATTGAGAATTTTTCCGTGATTGTGCATCAAAGACTCTTGGTTATATACCTGTCGAATCTCGCTACTCCTGGAACACGAGCGTGACCATGCGGTGTGAAGGTTCTGTCGCCCTGTGCCCAATCGCTTGCGCTCCTATCAATACAAAGCAAGAAAAGCGAAATCATTCAACTTTGTTACTTTCTATTTGAGATTCTTGTAGCAGTTGATGCCGTGACCAGTGAGTTTTCGTAGCTTATTGTTTGTGGAATAGAAGCTTGAGAGGGGCGATATCATCTTCACGCAGGTTAACGAGTTCAGCCGGGGTTAGTCTTGATGTTGGAGCAAGAACGTCAGATTTGGCCAGTCAACGATACGGACGTAATAACATTAGGCTAGTACTCGATGGCGACCGAGGTATCATTGAGCCGTAGCACATGTCTACCTGTTCCCTATGTAATAATGTACGAAAGAAGCCAAAGAAACTGGCCGTGGAGTGTAGTAATATCCCATAATAATAATGACAAAACAAACTTCAAGTTCAAAAATGAACGCCTTCGCTAATGTGATGCTGAGCCGCGCCTGTACCGGTGCAAATTCCTCAGAAGTGCCATCCAAAACCCCTGGGGTTAAAAGATGATGGCGAGAAATGAGGAGGGGGGGTGATGGAAGAAAGCCTAGCGTCGTCGCTGCTCCTCGTAAAATTTGCGCTTGCGCTCCTCCTTTTCGGCCTTGAGACGCTTCTCGAGCCGCTCCTGTTCGATATCTTCGCGGCGGGCCGCACGCTCAGCCGCCACTTCCTCATCCCACACGTCATCCATGCCGGCCTCCATGTCTGAAGATCCGTCAGAGTCGTAGTGGTACCGCGGACCGCGGTCGTCCTCCTCATCTTCGTCGTACTCGATAAAGTCGTCGAATTCTTCTTCCTCTTCCTCGTCGTAACGTGAACGCTTCGCGGAGCCGCCGTACCGCGGGGCAGGGCGGGAGTTGAGGAGGGCGCCTCCTGGTGCCGGCTTCTTCTTTGCCGAGGTAGCTCCGGGTCTCGGGCGGGCGGTACCCGTGTATCCTGTGGTGGCGACGGCGGCCTTTTTGAGCTTCTTCTGCTGCTCTTCTTCGGCAGCGGCCGCGCGTGCCTTTACGCCGGCCCTAGGGTCTCTCGCTCTGTCGGCGGTTCCGTTACGGCTGGCGCTTGATCCATTTGCGCTGGTCCCATTGCGCGAAGGCGGAGCCGAGGACGGTCTTGAGGTCCCCTGGAATTTCGACGCTTGCCTCGCTGCGCCCCTGGGATCCTTCTTGGGGTCCTTCTTGTAATCCTTCTTCATCTCCTCCCGCTCTTTCTTGGTGAACACCTTCTCCACCGGTTTGTGCTGGATCTTGCCGACTTGGCCCAGCTTGGTCTGAGCCTGTTGAGCACGCGCCATAATCTCGGCGAAAGATCCCTTCTTTGGCGGCGCACCTTTCGGTGCCGCGGCAGGAGCTGACGGGGATGGTCGACTGGGGAGTGCTGATGTCACTCTCGATGTGCCCGAGCCATTCATCGCCCTGGCACCGGAAGAGCTGGGCTTTGCGGACGTCGTGCCATTTCCGACAGGCTTAGGCGCAGACGTGGATCGATCAGACGTTCGTCCGGCGCTGCCTCGATAGCCGGTGGTTGTTGTCGAAGACTTCTCCGCAGGCCGTGCGGGTCTCTGGGCATCTGCCAATCTGGGGGGTGCAGACGAGCTGGCACCGTTTGTACTTGTTCGCGGAAGCTTATTCGAGACGGTGCTGCGGAGGTCGTCGTCGGCTTTCCGTTTCGGGGGCGGGAGTGCGGCCCTCGATGGAGCGGGCGATGTGCTCTGTGACTTGTCGCCACTTATTTGGGCGAGGAGATCTCCGATCTATGAACCGCCCGTCGTCAGCCCCGTCATAGCAGCCGCTAAAACGTGTTGTCGCATCTTGGAAGCACTTACAGGCATGGTGACGGACTGCTAAAGCCAGGTATCGTCAAGCAAGTGTCTATGTTGCTTGCAGCGGCCGTCAGGATGCATCAGGCGGACGCTTGAGTCATCAGTGTGGAAAGTACGAGAACTCAAGTTTCTGCCCTTCAGCGGCCCCCTCTCAAAAGACTGAACACGCGGGCGTTTCCGTCGGATCTGAGAGACGAGAAATGGTAGAGAAAAAAATGAGGAAAAATCGCGAAAATTGAGAAGGGGGTCGCGAAGCACTCGGCACAAACACCCGACGGTCGTTAAAATCGAAAGTTGGGTGTAGGGGACAAATGGAAGTGGCGTTGGAGTCGGCAAGTTTATATATGGTGGCCTGGGGGGGTGGAATCACTGGTACCTCCATTACCGTCCACCTAGGTAGGTACTTTGGACTGTGGTCCAACCTTCTATTAGCCTAGCCGGAAGCTGGAGTGGCTCCGATTCCGGTGGAGTGGGCTCCACTAGGCCCTTGTCGCTTTGACCCTCTCTGTCGACTTCTGGTGGTAGAATTCAGAAGGCTGTCAGTGGTCCACGGGCCAAGCAGGCGTAGGAGGTCGTCAATGTGGCTGAAGCCGCGGAAGCAAGGGGAGGTGTGGCTTGTGTGCTTCTCGGTCGGGGCCCCAGCCACCGACCGCCCTCCCCGCCCTAAGGTAGGGTCCCGCACCCTCTGGCTCACAAAACGAAAAAAAAGTTCCATTTCCGACAACTTGCCGAATCTCATCAACCACGCGAAAATCTCCCAAGACTCGAAGATTCAGTCTCCGCCCAACTTCGCGGTTAAATTGATTGACCTCTCGTGTTCTTTACGACAAACAGTGAGTCTACCCCCTTCTTCTCTACGCCTGATCTCCATCTCGTCGCCAATTGTCTTTTGGATTTTCGACGTCGCCGCAAAAAATTCAACGATCCCTCTTATCTAACAATCGTTCGTCGTAGAAAATCATTCAAGATGAAGCACCTCGCCGCTTTCCTCCTCCTCGGTCTCGGTGGCAACACCTCCCCCTCTGCCAAGGATGTCAAGGCTGTCCTTGAGTCCGTCGGTATTGAGGCTGATGACGAGCGCCTGAACAAGCTCATCTCCGAGCTCGAGGGCAAGGACATCAACGAGGTTCGTTACGATTTTGGTTATGCGACATGCGCAAAGGATTCAGATGCTAACAAGATATACAGCTCATCGCTGAGGGCTCCAGCAAGCTTGCCTCCGTTCCCTCTGGTGGCGCTGGTGGTGCCGCCGCCGCTTCCGGCGGTGCTGCTGCCGGTGGTGCCGCTGAGGACGCTCCCAAGGAGGAGAAGGAGGAGGAGAAGGAGGAGTCCGACGAGGACATGGGATTCGGTCTCTTCGACTAAATACCCCTCTCACGCCCTCGCCTCATCGAAGAATATACGCAGCAATCGGCCGACGTTTTCACAAGTCATTGACATGGGGAAATCTCTCTTGGGTTGGGCTTCGGCACACGTTTGTGTAGGAACACCTGCTAGGTTCGGTCAAATAAAAAGCTCGCTGGTTCTTTGAAACTGTCACCCCTCATCGATTAATTGTGTGCTCCCCCCTTGGACTACTCAGTTCATATCAACTTCAGCTCTGATTGTTTGCGCCATCCAATTAATACCCGGCGCGCAGCTTGGCCTCACCTCCCGGACAGTGGGCGATTCTTTGCGACAGAAGGCGCGCAACGTGCGGATAATTCTGGCGCAAACAATTTCTGAATGCTGAAGTCCGAAAACTGTGACCGGTCTCGCTCGGAATCCTTTAGGCGAAAAGATACCTTGCATGGGATTACATCAACTTAAACATGCAAACTAGGGTGCTAGATAAGGTAAAGTAGGCTAGACACCGAATGAAGCCTCAGGCAAGACTTAGTGCCTGGTTCCAAACTCCAATTCCATGTGCCCAACGAAGAATGTGCCGCCTTACGCTTTGCCGTTCAGCCCATCGTTGCTCCGACAACAACACCCCCCGGTCTTGATTTCTTATTGGCCAACCCCTGCTAGCTCCCAAATACCGGGAACGTCCTCAATTGACAAGGAATCGACACATCCCTCCGACATACAAGATGCTAGTGACGCGCCGCATAAACTAATTCCTTCTCCATTTGCAATCTTTCGGATCATGGGCACATTTGACACGTAAAAAAGTGTTCAATCGCCAAAATCAATCGCTTTTTTCTGGCGGAAGGTGCTTGGCTGCCGAGACCTGGAGATTCGCGCCGCTAATCCCCAGCCCCCCGTTGCGCAAAATTGGAACAACAAACCATCCCACCAGCTCGAGATGTCGACAACTTCTCCCACGCCGCTGGGCAACGCCGGAACCGGCCTGTCACGGAAACCGTCTGTACGACAAGGCCTCAGGAGGCTGCCCTCTCGTCCGCATCTCAATCGAAGCGAATCCAACCCTGTTCATGCGACCGCCGCTGCACCCGCGCTCTCAAAAAAGGCGGACTCGCAGCAGTACGCCATGCACGACAGCTCCGATGACGAGATACCCGTGCCTATGAAGCTCAGTGCCCTCACCAAGGCACTTCTCAACGATGGCAGCGGCCCGGAACCGCAAAGAGCAGCTTCACCGCCTAGAACACGTCGCCGCGTCAGTAATCTTGCCGCGTCCACGAGCTCTGCCACGGAGGAGAGAAGATCCCTCCGATCGGGAAGTGCTCAAGCATACGACACAAGGTCAACGAAACCCACGTCGCCGATACAGAGCAGAGAGAACAGTCCTGTGCGGAAAAGAGTTGTGAGACTCAGCAATACGCCAAAGAGTCTTGGCCAGATGCGCCCTGCCAAGAGAAGGTCTACCTCGCTCTCCCGATCAACCAACCAACGACCCCAGTCTAGAAGCCGGCCAGAGAGCCGAAACCAGTCCTCAGATGAGAAGAATGAACCGCCTCAGGATGTCAACACACCGGCTCAAGGTATCCGCGTCGTCCGGATCGCCGCTGGCTCGTCCGGTAATAGAAGTCGCCTCACCAATTCATCCAGTCACTCAAGGCGCTCAGGTTCCCATATGGAACAGGACCACCCAGAAGAGCCGTATACGGTAGCACGCCATGCTGCCGGTATCAACCCCGGCAGCGTATCCCGACAAGCCTCTAATGCTGGAAGAACCACCAAGGCCGAGGATAATCTCGCACTGCAAGGCTCCATGCGCGTCAAGCGAGTAGGCAAGATTCCCGGAAGCTTCTTGAGCGGACCCGCTCGACGTGGACGTAGAAGACAGAGTGAGGAAGAAGCGGAGGTAAATGGTGATGGCGAGGGTCTGATCTCAAGCCAGTATCACGACAGTCACGGCACAGACGTAGAGAATGAGATGGCATCATCCTTTTATGGCAACGGCAGACAGATGTCATCAGGCAGTCCTGTCGCCTTGAGCGACCCATCCAGAGCAGCTCATCGCAGGCCTACATCGTATGCCGAACCACCGGCCCCTTCTTCTATGCGCCATTCTCCCCAAGAAAAAGACAAGCCAGAAGAGATTCATTACAAGTTACCTGCGCCCCGCCCTCAAGTCCCCTCCTCGCACGACCAGGAGAACGAGCCAGTTTCTATACTGCGAAGCACGAGGCCTACCACCGTCAAGCCTGCGGAAATGGTCATGGAAAAAGTAGCCAGACGCTCCATCAATCCCGAGGCTGTTCAACAGAGACCCGCGGCATCCCCTGAGCGCAAGCCTCTGGCTTCTCTGGCCAACAACACTCCACGCCGAGCTGCTCCACCGCCTCCGCCCAAGATGTCTGTCCTTGATGCCGCTACCACATCCGCTGGCGCAGCGACGACTACTCAAGGCAAGCAAAGGCGGAATATTCTTCGTGTCAATGGAAAATCCTACACAAGACTTGACTGTCTGGGCCGGGGCGGTAGCGCTAAGGTCTACCGTGTTACTGCCGAAAACGGGGCAATGTTTGCATTGAAAAGGGTGTCGCTGGAGAATGCAGACGAGTTGACCGTCCGGGGCTACAAGGGCGAAATCGACCTATTGGGCAGGCTGAGAGGCAATGACCGAGTCGTCAACCTCTTCGACTACGAGATGAATAGTGAAAAGAAAATGCTCACTTTGGTAAGTCATCCGATATTGAAATGTAATAGCATCGCTAACACGTACTCAGCTTATGGAAATGGGCGAACTGGATTTCCATACGCTTCTCAGGAGTCGCCAAAATCCTGAATCTCCCAAGTTTGATTCAGTCTTGGTCCGCTTCTACTGGAAAGAAATGCTGGAGTGCCTACAATCGGTACACCAGTCCGAAATCGTGCACTCCGATCTCAAACCAGCCAACTTCGTTCTTGTAAAGGGTCGCTTGAAACTCATCGATTTCGGGATCGCTAATGCAATTCAAACTGATGAGACTGTCAATGTCCACCGCGAAACGCAAGTTGGCACACCAAACTACATGTCCCCCGAGTCGCTTTTGGACTCCAACGCACCTCGGGGCGGCCGAGTTCCTGGACGGCCCAAGTTGATGAAGGTTGGAAAGCAGAGCGATGTCTGGTCCCTTGGGTGCATTCTGTACCAACTGGTCTATGGAGCACCTCCTTTTGGTCACATCGTCAATCAAATGGCAAAATGCCAAGCAATCATCAACTGGGATCACGACATCGAGTTCCCTTCCCGGGCCATGGGTGGAGTTCCAGTACCTCCGTCTCTGTTGCGAACCTTGAGGCGGTGTCTCAATCGCGACGTCCACATGCGACCTTCGTGCGAAGAGCTTCTCCACGAGACCGACCCCTTCCTATACCCCTGTGAGATGAGCGACAAGGCCCTTCCTATTGACGAAGAGCTCCTTGGTAGAATCATCCAGAGCGTTGTCTCGAGGTGTCGAGAACGCATGCCGACTGATGCAGAGGCCATGTCCGTGTGGCCATCGGCTTACTGGACCAGTGTCAAAAAAGCAACGAATCAGAGCAGGTGACGAAAGCGTACGAGCATTATTGTTGGAAAAGGCGTCATGGAGACATTACTTGGGTTTAATGATCATCGGAATATCCATAGCTCGGAG